TTAGGCTTTCACAGCAGTCAACCCCTTGGGCAAGGTCAGCTGGCAAGGATTTGCTAGATGCCTAGGTTAAAGAGATGCGGCCTCTGCCCCGCCTGGGGTGGGCCTGAAGTTCCAGGGAACAGTGACCAGAGGGGTAGGGGAGACTTTTGAGCCAGGTAGAAGGTGGTAGAAGTAGACTAAAGGAGTTTTAAGGCCAAATAAATAGAAATTAGGAAGAACAGTATGAAACCATGGTGGTTTTGGAGGTCATACTCGAGCCCGCTTTGCTCATCGGCTGTGTCATTACATAATAGTTTTGTTCTTGACCTTCAGCATCCACACCTGCTGTCTGTTCTGCTCACCAAATCACTTTGTTTGTACTTGTGAGATTATAGATTCTGACTTGGGCTGGCTTCTCTTGTCAGACATATTCAGGTGAGCTCTGGCAAAGCAAAAATAGGAAAAGGAAGAGGGAGAGAGGAAAAGGGAAGGAAAATTATTTGAACAGATTGCATATTGGTTGACCCCTAGTTTATGGCAGTGATTGATCATTTGTTTTCCAGTGTGCTTGCTGTTTCAGAAGCCCATTTTTTGGTACTGGTCATATCTGGAATAAGTCAGAGTGTAGGACAGTGCTGATTCTTGCTTGTTGCTAAGAACATTCTGAGTGAGTGCCCAGGTCTGGTCTCTCTATGGATCCATAAAGATTTCATAGCTCATGGAGAGGAGGCTGGAACAGCTGGAGCAATGGGGAATGGTCCTCTCTTCTTTGGTTGTGTGTCCATTCTCCTGACCATTACTTGGGGAAAGCAGTTCACCTGAGCTTCTTCCACACAATCCTTCCACAGAAGGATTGTAGTCTCTCACCCGCCCCGCCACAGGTGCTGCTGCAGGATGCTTGGATCCCCTGCGCCCTGCGGCCAGACAGAGGGTGGTCAGGGACCGTTCATGGGAAGTCTGCCCTGTGGCACATGCCCAGAAGCTGTACATGGCACAGGGTCTTGGGCAGGAGCACCTGAGGCTTTCTCCATTTACCTTTGCAACGATGCCTTTCTTAAATGGGCAGCTTTCCTGAAGTTTATTTTACATATAGTGAAAACCACCAGTGACCTCTCACCATTCTTCTATTCTAGGACATTCTCTTCCTTACGGTTAATCTCATCTCATCTAGCTTTGGACAACCACTGATCTACCTTCAGTCTCTGTTGATAACTTTTCTTTTCTTTCCTTTTCTGTCAGTCGTGGGGCCTGAACTCTGGGCTTGGGCGCTGTCTCTCAGCTCTTCATCTCAAGGCTAGTGTTCTACCACTTGAGCTATAGCACCCACTTTTTATTTTGGTCCTGGGGATCGAACCCAGGACGTTGCACTTGCTAGGCAAGTGCTTTGCCACTGAGCTATACCCCAGCCCTTAATAACTCTTAGGAAGAAAAACTTGTGAGTGTTAACCAAGACTCCCTTGGTTGACCTGGTGCCCCAACTTTTCTTCCCATCCTTTAGGGTTCAACAGCCTCTCCCCTGCTCTCCCTCCTCCCTGCATTGTCTGGGCTGCCCTGCCCCCATCAGTTTTCTCATGTCTTTTGCAGTCTGTCTTACATCCATCCCCTACACAACAAAAATTTCCCTGGTGTGTAGGATACAAGGTTTTCTCAGAAAACCCTCTGCTGTTTTACTTATGGCGGGTGGAATCTGCATGTGGTTTACTTAAACAGATAGCTTATTTCCTTCTTTTCATGAAGGGGAAGCATGAATTCCTGAGGTCCTATCTAACTCTTCTACATATTGCGCCCCCCCCCACCCCCGCCTTCAGCTTCTTCCTGCTCCTGCTCTCCTAAGACTGTGTGTGTGCCTCCTGTGTTGGCATTGGCTCTGTCCATCGAAGACCGTGGGTCCAGTCCCGGTGCCCAGCCCAGGAACCACTCACTGCTTAAGTGAATGAGGAATGAAAGTATGTCAGCCAAGTGTGTGGGTATCCACAGATTGTGCACTGTTCCCTGCTTTCATATTTAGCTGCTTTACTATTTTAGCACCACAGCATTCCCTTCTTCTTCTCTCCTCACTAAATCTCCTATCAGGACTTAATTTCCCATCAGGACTTAATCTTGCATTTGAATTAAATAACAAATAGCCTCAATAGATGTATAAACCAAATGGTGATTCATATCCTTGCCATACAGAATCTCGCTTTTCCTACTCATGCATACGTTCCTGTTCCTACTTCTATATTCCTCCCCTTCACAAAGAGCCTGCTGGGGGTCCTTCCTAGAAGTACGATTCTTTAATCATTGAGGGTCTTGCTCTCTTCCTCCCACTCATGCGATGGCTGATGGCCCTGCGGCCTCTGCTTCCATTGCACCATGAGCAGCCCTGAGTGTCTGGGAGTCCACGTGGGCTGTTGATGCTGTTGCTGGCTTGTGTCTCGTCCACTTTGGCCCGGGCTCCCCGGCCTGTGAGGGCCGTGGCATGTGTGAGCATAGATGAGCGAGCAGCATTGTGAGTGACAGTAAGCGGGACAGGCGTCTTCCACCCCGCACTGGCTGGCCACATTGTTTAAACCTGAAGCCCGGGTCAGTGAGGGGAGCCACTGTTCTCTCTGATGTACGCTGCTGAGCTTGTGGCCCTTAGTGTGTATGCATGTGCTTAGGCATTGTTTCGTTCACCTTCATAGCTAGCGTCTGTAAAACAGGCTCCATATCTATGTGATGAATGAATTGGCTAATTTACACCTGCATTTGCTAAAGTATGTTTGGTTTCATTAAAAAAATTTTTTTTTTGGGGGGGAGACAGGTCTCTGTTGTAGCCCAGGCTGGCCTGGGACTCAGCCCAGGCTGCCTTGAACTTCTGTTCTTCCTGCCTCCAACTCCAGAGTGCTAGGATTATAGGCATGTGCTACCACACCCACACCCAGGTCTTTCTGGCTTAAAGGTAAATGTATATAATTCAGGTGGTATCTGAACTCTTCTTATAGCTGTCTGTCATGTACTGGGTGCTCAGAACAGTGTTAACACATGCCGATTTACCCCACGTGCTGTGTGAGCATTGTCCTCAGCCTGCACCTGCACTAGACGGTGGGGTATGTAGAGTGTTTCACAGGTGGGCACAGACCTTAGCGCACACCTTGTGAGGTCAGTAAGGTGGACGCAGGCAGGACCTGCCACACACTGGAGAATGGAGAGAAAATGGGAGTTCTGGGAGGGATGACTTCCTGTGGGGGCATTGGGCTGCTTCGTGGGGAAGTTGATCTTTTAGTTATGTGTTATAGGCCTGGACCGGTTCAGTTGGGGGACAGATTGAGGGTGGACCTCAGGTCAGGAAAGCAGAGTTCAGGAGGCTGACTGTGCCGGTGGAAAATAGCAAGAAGAGGAACTGTGGAAGGTCCTAAATGCAGTAACAGGAAGTTTAGGATTTATTAGAGACAGCCCCAGCTAAGCCTGGCAGCTTGGACAGAGGGACTGGCATGGGCGGAGACAAGCAGCCCTTGACAGGGAGCCGGGGCACCCTCATTTACCAGAGAAGAGGCTCTGGGGTCCTGCTTAGGCCCCTGATATGGAAGCAGTATGTTGTGGAGAGGCCTGGAAGCTAGAGAAGGCTTGGTGTGGAGTGGCTGCGTGTCCTGGGGGTATGCTAGCCAGAGAGGGGATGCTGGGTCCGTGGTAAAGGAAGTGCCAAGAGTGCCACGGGGTGTGGTGGCGGCCTGCCTGCCTGCCACGCAGTTCCCATGGAGACCCAGGCGTGCGTGTCCTAGGGATTAGTGATGGCAGGCCTTCTAGGTGTTGCTGTCCTGCGTCGACCTCCCCTTAAATAGGTTATTTGTTGGTTTCTGTTTTGGGCGATCCTCACAAGTCACAGCAGATGGGTGCACCGTGGAGGACTGCCAGGTCCAGCGGAACAAAGGTTGACTGTAGTGCTAGGCAAGAATTACTCAAACACTTCTGACGTGACGTCGTTCATCTGGTGGTTGGAAGGGTCGGTTGTTGGGGCAGGCATTTTTATACATCCTAACAGAATTTCTCAAGCGAGTTTGAAAATTTCATGCTCTGAATTGTTGGGAAGTCACACCTTGTATTGCCTTAAATTACTGCCTGTTTTATCCTCCTATTGAAGATAATGATTCTAAAAAATGATTCCTTTACTTGATTTTGGGAACAAATGTGGAGGTGCCAAAGTGGCCGTTTGCGGCCCTCCCTTGCTCTTTCCTGTGACGTGATCACAGCAGCCCTGCGTGGCCCAGAACTTGCTGGTGCTCATCCGGCTCTTTCCCCTCTGGAGAGCAAGTCTCAGGGTCAGAACGTGAGTGTGTGCCTGGACCGTGTCCCAGGCAGAGCGCTGCAGCTTTGGGAGCTTGCCATGAGTGTGTCAGGAGGGCTTGAGTCCATTCAGTTGACTCTGGGGCAGAAATTCAACCCAGTGCCTGTTCTTACATCACGGAGAACCCCTGACCCCTGTCTCTCCCCTCCCTGGTCGTCTCCTTTTCTTGTGCTGGCCTTGCCCCACACCTTCACATGTCCACCCAGACTCTCAGACACACTCTCGTCCTGCCCTCTCTCACACACTCACTGAGGTATGCACAGTATTCCCTCTCACTCGCACACTCCTCATATGAGCGCGCCCCCGTCCCCCGCTCTGCCCGCAGGCGGTTGGCACTTGCCTCCATGTTGGGCATGGCAGTGTGGGTGGGGTGCGGGGCTGGGGCAGCCGGGAGAGCGGCTTAGGGTCGTTTCCTTTCTTCAAGGCTCTTCAAAGCAATTGTTCTTTTTATTTCCAATTACTGTCATTTCACAAACTTCATAGCTTACCGTTATAAAGTTGTTACTGCGAAATATTTACACATACGAGCATTGGTTACTTATATGTTTCACTCATGAAGTAAAATCGTTAGAGCCGGAATTAGGCTATCTGTGCCGGCCAGCCCTTACCAGAAGGTTATTAGTTACCAAATGTCCTCCAGCGTGCTTGCAATGACTACTTTAGATTAAAAAGGGAAGTGGATTTTTAAAAATCCTTCTTTGTTTTTATTTTTTAGATTCAAAATATGAACAACATAATCTCCTTCCCTTTGGACAGTTTGCTGAAAGGAGACCTGAAAGGAGTAAAAGGGGTACGGCACTCAGAACCCTGCTCACCGGATGCTCTTATACCACAGGGCTGTGAGGTGGATCGGTAGGGGGTGTGGGGGTGTGGGGGGCCTGAGACCTTCAGCTGGGTCTGCACACGATGTGTGGGTCTGGCCCATCTTGGAGACTTCTGCTGAGACGGCTCAGTCTTGGAGACAAGTCCCATGTTGTCTTTTCAGGTTTAATTTTAGGGTACACCTAGGTTCCAGGTGATGAGGGGGGAGAGGATGACGGCTGGGTGATGCGCATTGCATCGGCGCTCTCCTTTTGTGTAATTTCATATATTTTGTAATAAATACTTTAAACAAGAGAGAGAAAGCTATGCCACGCCACCTGCAGTCTTTATTCAAAGCCTATGGTGTGTTTTTTATTTTTCATGAGATTCCATGCATCATTTATTACAGAAATTAATGCTCTGTTCAGGACTGGCTTAGGACAAGAAATTTTGTGGCACAGAAGTTAATGATTTGTCCTTAATTGCTGCCTCTTTGTTGACAGGATCTGAAAAAGCCCTTTGATAAAGCTTGGAAGGACTATGAAACAAAAATGTGAGTTTTCATTTTTAAGGTTGTGTGTAGGTAATTGGAGATTTCAATTTTAACTCAAACTTTACTGCTCAAAGGGGTTGTCTGAATAAGCAGTAATCCAGGAAAGAATTTACATAAGGCTGCATGGCTGTGATTGGTTGGGAGGTCAGATGCTAATGTACCTGGTGTCTACAGTCAGAGATGGTGGCTTTGACCCAGGACTTCATGGATAGTGTCAGGTTGGTTTCATGTTCAGGAAAGTTCACTGAAGGAAGTGGAAGCTAGTTTTCCCCAGGAGGTATTCCTTCTTTGTTTTTGAGTGCTTTCCACGTTTCAGTACCACGTAGGACAGCAGTGCAGTTTTCAGACTTCACTTTCCTGGTGATTTTTAAAAACCATCTGCTTTTAGCTATAGGTTCTTATATCTTTGAAATACCAGCACACATGACTTTAGAAAGATGCAGCTTTCCTTGATTGCGTCACCTACCAGAACAGAAGACGCAAGTGGGCTAGCTGACACTTCCATGTGGACCACAGATTCTGCCTCAGCTGACTTTCACACATTTAACATTTTCCTTCACGGCTTCTCATTCCAGGGTAGGGAGAGTCTAGCTAGACTCTCCCTCTGCCCTTGTGGGACTAAGTATTTAATTATTTTAAATACTGGAGAAATACGAAATATTTTTTAAATGTCCCATATTTACTTTGTGATCTCTGTGCCTTGGGTAAATGGAGAGTTTTATGAATGGAAATAGAAACTTTAAGAGGAAGCCATCTGGCAAATTAAGACGTGTTATGGGGAAATCACTTTAAATGTAATCCTAAGTGGTTATCTGGGCCCTTTTAAAACAAGCTTGTAAGCCAGGCTCTGGTGGCTCATGCCTGTAATCCTGTCTACTCAGAAGGCTGAGATCTGAGGATTGCAGTTCAAAGCCAGTCCGGGCAGCAACATCCAAGAGACTCTTACTTCCAATTAGCCACCTGGAGTGGCTAACCTGGAGTGGTGCTGTGGCTCAAGTGGTAGAGCATTTGCCTTCAGCTGAAGAGCTGAGGGACAGCGCCCAGGTCCAGAGTTTAAGCCTCACAACTGACAAAAACAAAACCACAACAAAAAACAAGCTTGTATATTCTTATTTGTGAAGACTACCAGCCAGTTATCCCTAGCCTTCAGCATCCTTTTATCTGTGGCCACTTGAGTGAAGTCAGCATTCCTGATTCACAGATAGGAAACCAAGACCCAGGGGTGGCTGCTGCTCACCCAGTGAGTGTCTTGGGTCAGGACCAGGAGGTGGGTCTTCTGATTTCCATCCGGCCACTCCCACTGTACGGTCCAGACACCTGTGGATGGGGTGGGGACAGAATTACTCACAAAATCCCAGAATCTGAGGAGCTGTGGTGGCACCCTTTAAACTCGAATCATTGTAGAATGCATAAATAAATAGTTCTTTACCCGCTAAGTATTCTCTATCCATTCCAAGAGGCCTTGTGCTGTGTACCAATGGGGTTTGAGATGTCTTTAGAATTCCTGGGCATAATCAACTGTCGAGAGTAGTGGTTTGTGATGATACTCTCAGGAACCCCAGGTAGCTTTTTTTTTTCCCCCATTGAATGGCTTTTAAAGAAAATGTCACCTTGTGTCTCCAAGTGCCACCTTGAGTTTTTGTGCTAAAAGTGCTGCCTTAAGTCTCCCTACAGGAAATGCCTCTCTGGCCTCCTTCCTGACAGCCCTTTAGATGGAGTACATTCTGTCACCTTTCTTTAATCTCCTTTCTCACAAAAGAAAAAAAAAATCCCAGCCCTTCAGGGTTGAAGTGATTTTGTAGCTTGTTTTACCCGATGGTTTTTGTCGGGGTGTGCTCTAGCCGGTCAGTTTAACGTAAGCTTACCCTTGACGCTTCCATGATAGCATTCAGCCTGAGGTCAGTCTGCTAAGGGCCATAAGGAAGGAAAAGATGCGCTGGGCAATTCTATAGGGCTGAATACTAGGCAAGGGAGGCTGGAAAGTCTGGATATCATCTCTGGTTTGGAAGATGAAGAGAAAGTCACGGGGATGCTGGGAGAGGAAGGCGGGGAGGGAGGTGTGAGCTTGTGCTTAGGAAGTCTGTTGAGTGAACAGTGAGAAGGCCAGCTCTGGTGTTTTTACGGCAATGGACAGTTTCCTTTTGCTCACACAGTGAGCATTTGTCTCGGCAGTCTAGGGAATGGGACAGCTTAGAGGCCATCCATGTCAGAGAGCCCTGTCAAGAGGCCTCTTGCTTTGTGCTTGCTTTTCTTCACACACAGAACCAAAATAGAAAAGGAGAAAAAGGAACATGCCAAGCTCCACGGGATGATACGGACTGAAATAAGCGGTGCTGAAATTGCGGAGGAGATGGAAAAGGAGAGGCGATTCTTCCAGCTGCAGATGTGCGAGGTGAGATGCTGGGAAGGCACGCCCCCCTCCCCCCTCCCCCACATAGGACTGCAGTATGGCCTGCGTTAGACTCCTCCCCAGTGATGTCATCTCTGCTCAGACCTGTGGCCTCAGATCAGACACCAGATGGATTACTGAACTCCATTTCTGTACTGACACCTTAGTCTCTTGGTGACAGAATTAGGTCACTCTACCACACCCAGTCTTTTATTGAAAGTAGAGAAAGCATAATGTCCTTTTTGGCTTCACATGTTCTCAACGTGCCTCCTCTCACTGGAATCAGCTGAGATACCCAGTCCTTGGGTATGCTTTCATGAGGTACCCGGGTTCTCACTGCACTGCTGGAGTCAGAGACGGAGGGCTTGGCACCTTCATGGCACTTGAGGACAATCCTCTGTGCCCGGGGAACTGCTTTCTCCAGACACAGTGCTAGTGCCTCAGGGCCAGGCAGGCTCAAGGTGCCGGGATGGACATGGGGAGCATTTCCGCAAGATCCTGGAGGCCTTTGATGGGTGAAGCCCCGGCAGGTGCCCATGGGTGCACAGTGAAACAGCTCCTACCCCGCTGGGTTTTACTTCCCCGCCCCCCAGCACAGCCTGAGGCGGTGGGTGGCGTTTGTTACCTTGTGGCAGCAATGCGCTTTGACAGATATGGCCATGAATCTTCTTTCCACCTTCACCTCTGTAAACTTTTCTGAAATATGTTTCTACTGAGGTTCTGTAAGTTGGGTTTCTGGGTCAAAGAGTACATGCATTTTATGTTTTGATATATTGCCAAGCATTTTATTAACAATTGTATTATTTTGATAAGTTGCCAGACAATGAATTAACAGTGAATATATCTCAGTAAGGAAGAGGACATGCTTAAGTGTAAGTAGCTGTTGGAGAGAAAAGGAAATTAGTAGCCTGTGGTCTCAGAGTAGCTCTGGTCTCCTCACAGGGAGAGAGAGGAAACAGAGGCTACACAGGATGATCTCAGGGTCCTTTTTAAGGACCACTCAACAGTTTTGGTAGTGAGAGATTCCCCAGTGTGTATTCTCCAATCCTTTGAGAAAGGACAGCATTTCTCAGTGCTAGTTTTATAGGTCCCTGTGGCTTGCTGATAGCTTGTCTTTAATGAATTCTCTAACTTCAAAATGGCTTGAATTTTTTTAATTTAAAATTTAGTTGGTTGTAGCCAAGCGCCGGTGGCTCACGCTTGTAAATTCTAGCTACTCAGGAGGCTGAGCTCTGAGGATCACCATTCAAAGCTAGCCCAGGCAGGAAAATCCGTGAGACCCTTAGCTCCATTAAACCACCAGAAAATCAGAAGTGGCGCTGTGGCTCAAGTGGTAGAGTGCTCACCTTGAGCTGAAGAGCTGAGGGACAGCATCCAGGCCCAGAGTTCAAGCCCCATGAATGACCAAAAACAAACAAAATTTTAGCAGGTCGCTAGTGGCTCATGCCTATAATCCAAGCTACTCAGGAGGCTGAGTGAGATCTGAGGATTGTGGTTCAAAGCTAGCCCAGGCCGGAAAGTCTGTAAGACTCTTAGCTACAATCAAGCTTCAGAAAACTGGAGGAAGTGGTGCTGTGGTTCAAAGTGGTAGAGCGCTAACCTTGAACAAAAGTGCTCAGGGACAGCACCCAGGCCCCAATCCAAGCCCCACAACCAACCAACCAACAAAATAAAATAAAATAAAATAAAATGGTCACCTGTAGGGGGAAGTTCCTTGAAGACGAAGACCTCAGCTACAGAATTCTAGCAATTAGCGTTGTGAGTAAAGCAAGGGCCCTGGCACAGAATGTGAGCCTTGGAGACACACGATGGTTAGAAATTGCATTCAGCCCAGTTGCCCTGCTCCCTCTGTGTAGCCCAGGAGAGACCTTGTCCCGGCAAGGTCCAGTAGAGCGTCTGATGAGTTCTTGGCTCTTAAACTTTTGACAGTTAAGATGGCACTAAAAGAAACATTTAATTATGGCATCAGAAGATATTAAAGCTGGGTGCCGGTGGCTCATGCCTGTAATCCCAGCTACTGAGATCTGAGTATCTCAGTTCAAAGTCAGCCCGGGCAGGAAAGTCTGTGAGACTCTTAAAAAAAAAAGAAGAAGAAGAAGAAGAAGGTATTAAGTGTGCTAGGCACTTTGCCCTTTGTAAAAGATATAAAATAAGCGGAGAAATAACCTGCCTTTCTGAAACTTCTGTTAAGTTCATATTTTATTCATTTCTCTGATGATCGCTCTTTGTTTCTGTACAGTATCTGCTGAAGGTCAATGAAATCAAGATCAAAAAAGGAGTGGATTTACTCCAAAATCTCATCAAATACTTCCATGCCCAGTGCAAGTAAGTCTCCTCTTCTTCAGAGTGTTTGAATGGTTCTCTGTGAGTGGTGGCTCCTGACAGACAGTAGTGCTGTGCGGAGGAGTGCACACACTTAGAAACCCATGGGGGAGGAATGGAAGGCCAGAGCGTGAGCGTGTGCATGCCAGGGAAGGGAGCCCAGAGGCCACATGCTGTGAGACTCCGGGTATTTGACAAGTTGGAATAAGTGAATTCATAGGGAGCAGATGCAGATTAGTGGTTGCCACAGCCTGGGCAAAAGAAGAAATGGGAATGACCACTAATGGGTGTGGGGTTGCCTTTTTGGATTATGTAAACATTCCGGTGTTAGTGCTACTGATTGTACAACTTGGTGAGTATAGTCAGTGAATATTACACCATACAGTTCGAAATAGCTAATTGTGCGGTTTGAGGATTACATTTCAACTAAAGTGGAAGTATGTGTGATATACAGTGATATACAGTGATTGCCAATTTGTTTGATTTTACCCCATCATCTCGGATATCTTTGTTAGAAGAGAAATGAGGTGTTCATACAGGGTATTGAGAAAATTCTCTCATCTGTCACTGATCCTGCAAAACCAATGATGATAAAAGCAGAAGACGTAAGAGTAGAGAGAAAGAGAAACTTGTGTGCTGAAGTGCTGCTGTGCTCAGCTTTCCCCAGCCATCAGCCCCTTGTGGTCTGATTTATCGTTTCTGCTCCCTGACCTGGAAGTCACTGGATAGACACCCCCATGGCTCATTCACACACCTGACCACTGTTCACCGCATGTGTTTGTGTCAGACTCCAGGGGAGGTACTAAGATACAGTGATACGCAATATGGGCATAGTTCTGCTGGGAGAATAAAGTTGGGGAGTTGGAACAAAGAATAGGTGTTGACAGCTGGACATAGTAGTACATACCCGTAAGCCCAATTCTCAGGAGACAGACAGTAGACTTAAGAGTTCAAGGCCAGCCTGGGATTCATAGCAAGACTTTTCTCAAAAACAAAATAAAAGAAAAACATTGGGTGTTTCTAAAAATTGTTCTGAAGTATGTAAATCAGAGAGAAAAACTTGATTTAGGGTTAGGTTTTTACTTCTCTTAATTTTCTGTTTTGTTCACTGTTACGTTTTCCAAAGACAAACCCAGTGCCTGGCACTGATACTTCTTGAGTTCCCTGTAGGCTTCTTCAAGAGACATGTGCGTTATGACCTATGAGCAGGAGCCCAGAGATAAGGAGTGTGTGTGTGTGTGTGTGTGTGTGTGTGTGTGTGAATACTCCAAGCAGAGTCCAGGTCTGACGGTAAATGCCAGGGTAGCTTGAGAATGATGTGAAATGCAACTGGACGTGCCCTCAGGTTCTGGAGCAGGTTCAGGGTCTTAGCTCAACTGTGGTGAGGAGGTCTGGAATAGTATTTTTTTTTTTTTTTGGAGAGGGGCGGTTCTTGTCTTAGGACTTGAACCTAGGGCTTGAGTGTTGTCCCTGAGCTTTTGCTCAAGGCTAACATTCTACCAGTTGAGCCACGGCTCCACTCAGAGCTTTTTTGGGTAGTTTAGTGGAGACAAGAGTGTCGCAGACTTTCTTGTCCAGTCTAGCTTTCAACCGCCATCCTCAGATCTCAGCCTTCTAAGTAGCTAGGATTACAGAAGTGAGCCCCTGGCCCCAGCCTCTGGGATAGTTTTGAGCGCAGGATTCACTTCCTCAGAGTTCCTGTGGTTGCCAGGACCTGTTTGAGGGTCTGGTGATCCAAGAAGGCAGAAAACCCAAGTTCTTCCCTTGTGGACCTCAGGATTACTGGACAGGCTTGTAGGAGTCCCCCGAGCAGACACTGAACTGAGTCTGTGAAAAGGCACAGGCCGTGGTGTAGCAAGAAGGAGCAGATGGAATAAGAGTGGATGTGAGCTATTGCTGAGGTGCCTGGCTGGTGCCCAGGGCAGTGTAAAGGTGATGGCGCAGCTGGACTGGTCAGCCCAGCATGAGTGCACACGTGGGTGGCTTGAGAACTCTTTCAGAGGTCAGATTGCAACACACCTGTCCCCTCACCTTCTGAATGGGCCTTTCCCCAGGCTGTTGTGTCTTGTTGCACACACATTGTTCCTTTTCCTCGAATGTCCTCATGTTCCTTTGGGTCATTCCCAGCTCTGCTTTCCCTTGGGGCCCAGCTCCTGGGTCTTGAGTGCCATGACAGTCTTGTCTTGCTGACCTGGGCCTCTGCAGTGTCCTCTGCATTTGCCTGGATGGAGCCCTCCTCCGTGTCTCTGTCCACCGAGGACCTGTTCACTCGTAGGAAGGCTGTGTCATCTGTTTGTTTCCATCTCCAGGGCATGATGTGGACACGTAGCTTGTGTGTCACACCTAGCATGTGTGTGTCATACTTAGCATGTGTGTGTCGCAGGGACTTGTGAGGTCACCTTGAACAGAGTGTTGTGGATTTTCACTGCCGCTCTGCTTCTGTGCAGTTGTGCGCTGAGCGGGCTCGTCCTAGGATAAAAGAGGGTGGAGGACTACACATGGAGAATTTTCAAAGTGCATGCTTTGACAAGGCTCAAACCCTGCATGTGATCAGCATGCAGGCTCCCTCCCCTCTCTGTTCTCCAGGAGCAGTGACCTGATAGGAGGTAATATAGGAAGTGGGTCGCTTCCTTGCTGACATTTTATTTTTAGGAAGAAGCTATTCTGAGATTTCCTTTTTCTTCTTTATTTTGCCCAAACTATCAGTTGGGTAGCAACAGACCACTTGTGGAAAGTGAGTGAGTTGACCTTATATGGGCAAGAGCTCAGTAACCTTTTAAAATACGAATCATCTACTGATTCCTTCTTGGATGAGTGTGTGTGTGTGTGTGTGCATGTGTGCGTGTGTGCGTGCGTGTGTGTGCACACTCACACTCCGTGTTCCCAGGTCAGTTAGGCAGCTTTCACTTTTTCGTGAGTTTCTGTTTATTTTGTATTTTTATTTTTTATTGTTACTACAAAGATGATGCACAGAGGGTTACAGTGAGGTCAGGTCGTGAATACATTTGTTTTTGGACAATGTCACCTTCCCTTGCTCTCTCCCAGTTTTTCCCTCCCATTCCCACTCATAAGTTGTATAGTCCATTTTCAACCTAGTGTCTAGTAAATAGACTTCCACTTTTAAAACTAATATTTAGGGGATAAAATGTGGGGCCTGAGAGACTTGGCTGTGGGACCCCAGGAACTTGTGGGGTCACCATGTGACCCATGTTTCGCATCATGTATCTCTAGTCTCAGCCCCAGAAGCCCAGCCTGCTTGATGCGTGCCTGCCCAGCGCACGCTGCCTCCATGGGCTGTCATCCTCGGATGGGAGAGACTGCTGTGTGTCACCCAGGTTCTAGGAGCCCTTTGAGCAACTTAGCTGTACATTGTTTTGCTGTGTGCTCGTGTTTGTGTTCTGCTTTTTGAAGTACTTTGAAGGGTACTTCATTTGTGTTCTGGGCCTGTGCTGCTGGAGAAGGAGGGTTCTGTTCTCTAGAATCTAGGACTGGGACAGCCCTGGTACGGCCTGGTGTAGCATAAGATGGTCAGCTCCTGAGCAGGAGACACGAGTGTGGAATTGGCTTACTCCTTGCATCCATCCTGAACACATGCCTGCTGAGACTCAGGCTGGCCTGTCACTCGATGGACTTGGGATGCCACGTCGATGAGTCCTGAGGAGCTTGGTTTCATGCAAGGCTGCTGCAGACCCTCTGCACACCTGGCATCCCATGGGATATCAGAGCATGGTGCGTAAAGGCCCGGGGTGGGGAAGAGGAGGCAGAGTAGGCCTGGTACCACCAGGTCCAGAAGAGACCACTGATTGCATCTAAGGGAATATACTTCAAAGGTTTGAGAATCTGATCAAGCAGGCTACACAGTGTTTAATAGAAAATACAATTTGGGCCAGGCGCTGGTGGCTCACGCCTGTAATCCTAGCAACTCAGGAGGCTGAGATCTGAGGATGGTGGTTCAAAGCCAGCCTGGGCAGGGAACTCCATGAGACTCCTATCTCCAATAAACCACTAGAAAACCGGAAGTGGCATTGTGGCTCAAGCAATACAGTGCTTTTCTTGAGCTGAAGAGCACAGGGACAGCGCCCAAGCCCAGAGTTCAAGCCCCATGACCGACAAAACAAAAACAAAAACAAATTTGGTTTGGTAATTTTTTTTTTTTATGTGTACGCCAGGACCAGAGTTTGAGCACAGGACTTTGCTGGTCTTGTTCCCAGTGGGTGCTCTACCATTAAGTCACACCTCTATTCTGACATGTTTTTGGTTAGTTGGATATGGAATTTCATGGACTTTTCTGTCCTGGCCCAGGCAGGCTTTGAACTTGAGATCTTCCAAGTCTTGGCCTCCTGGGAAGCTAGGACTATAGACATGCACCACTGTTGCCCAGCTGAACTGGTAATACTGGTGGTGGAAGGTCTTTGAACAAAGCTTGAGGAAATGTTAACGGCTTGCCTTAGGAAAAATCTCTGTGGACTTCCATGCGTCATGGCAACAGGCTACCGTCAGCAAAGCACCCCTTAGGCGCCTTTTCTTTGAAGCTCTGTGTGTCTCAAAGGTGCACCTGGATTCCACAGCATACCTCATAAGGAGGGGTACAGACAGAAAGGGGTTGAAAAATCAGACTGAGGAGGTTTTTCAGATAGACAAGTCAGACTACTGAGCCTGTAACAAAGATGGGGCCCACATTGTGTGTGTGTGTGTGTGTGTGCTCACGCGCATGTGTGCATGCACTTGTGTGCATGCACATGCAAGTGCATACACACACATGCACCAGTACTAGGTCTAAAACTTGGACTCCTGCTTTTGTTTGGCTTTTTCTGCTCAAGGCTGGTACTCTACCACATTTTCAATTTCGCTCTTTTGGAAGTCAACTGGAGATAAGAGTCTTTATGCCTGAGCTGGCTTTGAACCATGATTCACTGACTTCAGCCTCCTAAGTAGCTAGGATTACAGATGTGAGTCACCAGTTCCCAGCTTGGAGTCCACATCTTAAGCCCACGTACTGTCCTGTGCAACACTGCAAATGTCATTTATGAGACCAGACTTGATTCAGCCCTGGACGCCACCCTGCCCCCTCCCACCGCAGGGAGGGCTGCCAGGGCGTGCACCTGTTCCCTTCCCAGGGTGCCTCTATCTGTGGTCATTGTCCTCTATTTCCTATCCTTCCCTCCCTCCCTCTCTCATGTTCTGGTTCTTCCCTCTCCTTTTCTGTTCACCAGAAGTTAAAGTGCTTAAAGAAATGATGATATAAGGAAAAAATTGAAGAAAGCACAGGAAGCAGATGAGTTCATGACTGATGGTGCAGAAAGGCCCGGTGGTTCTGCCCCTCATAGCACCCATATACGGCTAGGTCACTGTGACACTGATGCGGTTCTAGGCCAGGAGCATGGCCTATATTCAGAAAAAAATGAAATAAAGAACCGTGCATACATCAGAAGAGCTAGGTGAGAGCATTCTCACAGCCTCGCCTACCCTGGGTGTGTCCTATCAGCTTGCTGCAGGGTTTGTAGCCATACCCTTTCCTGTGTGCTGTCTACGCCCTCCTCCCTGGGATCCTCCTCTTCCCGACAGGCTTGGATGGGGGAAGTTCCACAGGGCCACAGCTTAGTTTGAAAGGAATGTCAGGTCACCTGAACACTTGGATCACCAGAGCTGGGCGGAGTCTCTTCCAAGTCCACTGGGCTGGTGGAAGTTGGCAACTCCCCTTTCTCTCAACCTCCCTTCTTTTCTTTCTTTCCTTCCTGTGCCATCCACTGTGGAAACTATACCCTTCCCACACGTAGGGTTTGTTTATATAATGGGAAAATTTTATGCTAAGTAATGAACACATTAAAAAGTTTTGAGGCAAGTGAGGAAATATTCTAAGAGAATATACTAAGGAGATCTCTTTTATACTGGGGCATTTTGCAAGGCCTAGTAATGAGGTAATATTTTCGCTAAGAATGAGTGGGATAGCCTGTGAAGTAGGCACATTGCAGCTAGAGGCCTTTGGAGAACAAAAGTAGCGTATACAGGGGGCCTGAGGCAGAAAAATGGGGGGGCACCGCTTCTTTTGGAGCCACATGACCCACGGTGGTAAATGCAGCGGCTCGAGACTGGAGAGAGGTGGGCTAAATCCCAGAGGCACTCCAGGCCTCTTACCAGTTTGAACTTCATCCTAAGCCCAGTAGGTAGCTTCTTTCTTTCCACCCAACATGTACAGCATGCGTTAGAGACAGCACTGAGCAGTAGCAGTTGTTGCTGCAGAAGACGTGTACAACTTCTGTTATATTCCCTCAATCCTTTATCATGTGGCCTCATCATGAGTTGTAATCTTAAAAAATATTCATGTTTGGGGCTGGGAAGATTGCTTGCCTAGCAAGCATGAAGCTGAGTTTGATTCCTCAGTACCATATAAGCAGAAAAAGCCAGAAGTGGCGCTGTGGCTCAAGTGGTAGAGTGCTAAACTTGAGCAAAAAGCAGCTCAAGGACAGTGCCCAGGCCCTGAGTTCAAGCCCCAGGACTGGCCAAAAAAAAAAAAATCATGTTGGCATTTGGCTTTACATTCTCTAACCATGCTCTCCTATTCTGCATATGGAGCCTGGCCGTTTTGTATATCAGGTTGCCTTGTTTTTTTTTCTGGTATATTGCTGCTTCTCTACTTGGCTGTTATTACCTCTTTAAACATTTTTTTTTTAATTTTTTTGTTGGTTGTGAAGCTTAAACTCTGGGCCTGAGCACTGTCCTTCAGCTCTTCACCTCAAGTTGAGCGCTCTACCACTTGAGCCACAGCACCACTTATGGTTTTCTGGTGGTTAATTGGAGATAAGAGTCTCACAGAATTTCCTGTCTGGGCTGGCTTTGAACCGCCATCCTCAGATCTCAGCCTCCTGAGTAGCTAGGATTACAGGTGTGAGCCACCAGTGCCTGGCGCATCCCCCCTTCTCTCTCTCCTCGTTCTGGACTTTGAACTCTTACCACTTGAGCTACGTTTCCAGCCTGGCTTTTTGCTGGTTAACTGGAGTCTTGAAGACTTTTCTGCCAGGGCTGGTGCTGAGCCAAAAGCCTCTAGCTCTTGTCTTCCTGAGTAGCTAGGATTATAGGCTGTGCCACTGGTGTCCTGATGGCTGTTGCCTCTTGAAGAAGATTCTCTAGTTCTTTGGCTTATATCTCTCCATTTGGATGCTCGGAAGAGTCCCTGATAGAAATCCCAGCTGCCACTGTCAGGAGACTCCCGTTTCCATTACAAGTTGGAAATTGGGCCTGATAATATGTGGGTCAAGAAAAAAATCCCAAGTCCTTGGGCTTATTGAGGTTCCTTTTCTATATCATTTCTCCAGATTTTGAGTGACAGTTTGCTCTTGGCTTGCCTGATACTTTACATATCCCCCAGGAATTACATAATGACTCCAGTCACTTTCCTTTGAAGAAGTTTTCCTGCATCTTAAAAAAAAAATACTCTTCTCTGTGAAGCACAATCTCTGTTCTCTGTCTCCCCCTCTCCCTGTCCAGTTTTTTCCAGGATGGACTGAAAGCAGTAGAGAGCCTCAAGCCTTCTATTGAAACCCTCTCCACAGACCTTCACACGGTGAGCCGCTCCCTGGCGGTGGGTTAGCCGCCTCTGTGCGACCAGCAGTTCCATTGGGGCTTTTTCTGGTCCCATCTCCATGGGGTCAGCAGTTCCACTGGGGCTTCTTCAGTGTATGTGATTTCACATTTGCATGCTGTGCTGTTGAGAAAGGAAACACCCTGTAATGGCAGGAGTCACTAGAGGGAAGGAGGGAGGCAGTCATGGCTCCCGGAGAAATGCGGTGGCAACTCCACACGACATTGTGTTCCAGTCTTAACTTTTCTCTGCTTTGCTTGGTTTTCAAAGATCAAACAGGCCCAGGATGAAGAACGAAGGCAGCTAATACAGCTCCGGGATATTTTGAAATCAGCCTTGCAAGTTGAACAGAAGGAGGTGAGGGGATTTAGAATAGAAGGCTCTCTGTGTCTTGGGGGCTCTGGGCTGAGGAAGGTGAGATGCTTGTCGTCCAGGGACCTGCAGTTCACTCTGGGACTGACAGGAAGCATCCAAACATTGTTTTACAATTGAGTTTTGTGGACTACCTTTTTTTAAACACGTCTACTTCAGGGGAAGCACCTGCGTCCAGGCAGTGGACCTCATTGGCTGGGTGGGAATCTTTCTCATTCCTGGCACATTGACCGCTTCCATTTGTGCATTTGCCACGCCCCTGTGTTGCCCTGCTGTGACATAAGTGAAATTTGTGTCTTGGAATAGGCACAGAACTGGGTGCCTATCTGAGTCTCTCAAAGAGAGACTGTGTTCTGTGTGTGAGGGTTAGGCTAGGGTTGGTAATGCATGCTTGTAATCCAAGCATTTGAGAAGCTGAAGCAGGTGGATTTTGATTTGCAGGCTCTTGGACTGCATAACATGACTCTATTTAAATTAAAAAAGAGAGAGAGAAATGTAGAGTTTGTGCCTATGGTTGCATCTGATAAGCAGACATCTGTCGATGTTTTTCCATTTTTCATGTAGCACATTTTCACGTGCTCATATATCACCAGTGACAATTCATGGGGTTTGGAGCTCATTAAAAAAATTAAAGGTAACTTTTAAGGGTAACTTAAAATGGTATGCTCACTATGGTGTGAGTATTATAATGTGATTTTTTTTTCTTTATTGCCATTGAGGTAAGGATCTTAGTATGCTGCACATGCCACCCCTGAACTCTTGTGCTCAAGCAATGCTCCTGTCTCCCCATCCTGATAACGGGGTGTTATGTGAATTAAACAAATCCATCTCTGTCAATAAAGGAATGTGTCTAAATGTATTTACGGCCATTAGATAAGCATCTGGGTAACAATATAAAGTTCTCTGTTGGCCATTTGTTGAAAGTTCTTATACTATAACTGAATATTGTTGTTTCTCTCCCAAATGCACTTACCTTTTGTGACCGAAGTCTAGGAGAGTAAGTAGCCCAGTATTTGGAAAGTCTTGCATGCATTGTTCATGAGCTTGAAAAAGCATATATTTCCTCTTCATGTATCATGATGGTCAGCGGCCCTTTATCCTCTTCCTCTTTTGTCATAGTAGATTTTACTAAAAAGGGTTTAGAACCCCATTCAGAGTGATTGGCTTGCTTGTCACACAGCCCGTGTCTTGTAGGCTGTGTCTGTGTCTTGCTGCCCAAGATGCCTTTCCCTCAGCTGTCCTGTGAGCAGCTTGAGAAAGACTCCGGCCTCAGCGAGGGGTACTTGATCACAAGGGTGAGCTAAGGGAGAGGTCATGAGTAATTCTAGAAAATACGCAAAGCATAGGGTCTTCCACTCCAGAGAAATCCAGAACCTAAGGATTTGAGGTTCCCAAACATGGAATAAGAATAAGAACTTGAAAGTTGTGGCCTAATTGAGAGGAGAGGGCGCAGTACCAGGTGTGGGCCTGAGTGTCGAGGAGGTGGTTGAGAGCTCCTTTTGTCAGACAAGGAGGATCCAAGCAGGAAGCAGGCCATGAAGGAGGGGAGGAGCAGTCTGGTCAGCAGCCGTCGGAGCAACTTGGTGGTCTGTGGCTGTGCAGAATTAGGAAGTTTGAGAATGCTGGTCCTATCAGCTGCAAAATGTAGCAGACATACCAGCACAGACCAGAAGTTCGATGGGTTACTGACCAGAGCTGGGGCGCATGGGGGTTCTTCCTTTTCCTCCCTTGGTGCCCAGTGACACCTGTCGGGAACACGTTCTCTAGGTTCCTGGTTGTGATTGGGTTGTGATCCCGTGTGTCATTTTCTGCCTTGCTTTTTGGCAGTGGTGTTCAGTAGACTGGACAGCCGGTGAACTGGTGGAGTGATAAGCAAACGTGAATCAGTTAAGGTTGGCATGTTTTAACGTGATTGTCAGGATTGGGACTCTGTCTTGTTTCCCTCACCTTCCAGCGGGCCTGGAATATTTTGTTTTCTCTCCTTCCTTTTCGCTGGGATTCTCTCTCCTCTGCAACGTAGAAAGCGGATGCTGATGGGTGTTTTTTATGCAGTGTGAGGAAAATTCTGTGCAGTGTATGGGAATGGTTCATGAAAGTTCGGTGACGTGTCTACTCGATGGTGGTCCACAGCCACTGGTGGTGTTTCCATCCGTAAATCCCAGCGTCACTGATGGTGGACGAGGAGAGCAGCCGCACAGTGTGGTGCTTTCAGTGCTCTGCTTTGTCAGCCCTGGCTGTACTTAGGTTTCGAGCCTGAGCAGTTTAGGATTCTAGAATATCTCCTATCTCCCAAAGTCATATTCTGTTCTTGAGGTTTTCTGCTCTCTGTAGAGGGTGTTATTGTGATATCCCCAGTTTTCCGACCTACAGAAAAGTTGAAAAGTTGTATAAATGAACAAGAGTTTCTGTATCCTCATGCTTGATTTTCAGGAAAGATCCCGCTACAAAGTTAAAACCGTTCAGAGCTGCTTTTCGTGTTTCTCCATGTCAGCCTGACGTTCGCCTTCCTCCTCCCACGTCCACCCATGTGCGTTCTGTGGGTTTTGCTCCGGTGTGTTCACTGTGGTGCAGGCCAGTCCTTCCATGTGGCGCTGAGAGCCTGGACTTGTGCTGGTGGGGAAGGGTCAGACTCAAGTCTCTGGGTTGCAAAGCCTTAAGTGCTAAAACCTCAGGGCTTTTTCCGCTCTGGGCTCATGGCTACTTCTTCTCTTGGCCAGCTCTTCTCCTTTCCAGACATCCTTGTGTGGTGGAGCGTGGCTGGACAGTCTGTGCAAAGGCAGGGGTCCCCCCTCCACGGTCTTTCCCTCACCTCAGCTTTCCAGTCTGGATTTATGAGCAGTGTCATGCTCACCTCGGGCATCGCTGAATCTCCTCCTTCCCTGCCGAGGGCATGGCAGCCCCGCTTGCTCCTGCGCCTGGGGACGTCGGACTCGCCATCGGTCCACACATTCTGCTGCTCTTCTTTCTGTGCTCACTCTGCACTAGGCATTGCTCATGCCCACACTCAACAGAGCAATGCCGGTGCACCTCCCACCTCTTCAGGAGCCCACAGTCGGGGGTGGGGCAGGGAAAGCAGTGGAGGGGGAGGGGTGAGGAGAGGTCCGCTGCCCTAGCTGGCAGCTTGAGCCCAGGTGCTGTGGGAATGACAGCCAGCGATGAGGTCTGAGCAGCGGCTTTGGAGGATGACAGGGATTGCTACAGTTGTGGCAGCTGGGCCATGTGGACCACTTCTGTCCAGGACCAGAGGTTGCCCAGCATCTGTCTAGCAGAGCAGAAGAGCTGGCGTTAGTGTCTTCCTCTTCTACCAGCACTGTAGTGGCCAGGTCCTGGACCTCGCCACGCTTCGATCTCCTGTGCCTGCGTCAGCCACAGAGAGCTGGTGCAAGATTTGAGAAAAACTTCCTGTCAGGCTCTCAGCTCCATCGTAATGAACAGGTACCAGTTCACCTGCTCAGCAAGCAATGAGCTCTCAGGTGGCGAACAGATTTCTGGGCCAAATTCCCCCATCCTACTTCTCACTCCTTCCGCCCTGCTTCCAGCCGGCATCACTGTTGCCCACCGACCTCTCATTTGGGGGTGGAGTGATAATTAATGCTCCTCTCCAGGCCCAGGCACTGCCTGCTTGCCGGACATTTCGTGATTCTTTCTGGCACTTGGCATCACCAGTGCGACCTCTCGGTGTACGTCTGATGGGCCCACATTCACAACTTGAGTCCAAGAGAGAGGGGAGGGGGCACGTGCTGCAGCTCGCTCAGTGCTGTGCCGCCAGGTGGCCCTCAGGTCTGTGCTTCTCCAAGCCTGTTCTTTCAGCGAGTGCCACATGACTTCAAAACCTTGTACTAGAGTCTTCAGAAATTGCCCCAAGACAACGGAGAGGGCTCTTGAGACCTGAGAACGCTGCTGCTGGCTCCCGCCATCCGCCGTGCCTTCCACGCTGAGATGAGCCAGACCTCATAGCCCCTCCTCAGCAGAGAAATCTTCCGCCTGAGGAGTGCCCCCTCTGCAGGTCACCGCTCACGGAATCGTCTGAACGGACTTTATGAGAGGAGGACAGGTGTAAAAGTTTTTAGGACATTGTAGAGTCTCAGCTCAGGGCTTGTGTACAACCTGTGAGGCCCGCAGCATAGTCCATGTATCTGGACTTCAGGTATAGAAGCATTACTCATCTAGGAGACTCCTGGCGGGACCTGGGAGCTACCTAAAAGTCAAGACCACAGGTGGTGTCTGGTGTCTGAGAATGTGTCACTGGATGGAGGGTACGTGGAAGCTGATAGGATTTTTATGTTCCCCAGAGAACCACCTAGTCTTCATACACTGACGCTTGTAAAGTCCTGAGACCTGTTGGTTCTCCCTGGTGTGAAAGCCATGAGCACCCAGCCGTAAGCCTTCACTGATGTCACCTACAAGGTGACTTTTCTTCGAATTAGTAGACATTAGTCGTGAAGTCAAGTCTTTCTGATTTGGTTTTGTTGTTGTTGTTGGTGGTGGTAGTGGTAGTGGTGGTGGTGGTGATGGGATTTGAGCTCAGGGCCTGGGCACTATTCCTGAGGGGTTTTTTGTTTGTTTGTTTTGTTTTGTTTTTGGCTCAAGGCTAGTGCTCTGCCACTTTGAGCCACAAGGCCACTTCCCGTTTTCTGGTGGTTAATTGGCAATAAGAGTCTCACAGACTAAATTTTCCGGGCTGACTTCAAATAGTAATCCTTAGATTTCAGTCACCTGAATAGCTAGGATTACAGGTCTAAATCATGGGGTTTTGTTGTTATTTGTTTAAGACTAGATCTCACTTTGTAGCTCCTGCTGGCCTGGAATTTGAGATCTTCTGCCTCTATCTCTTGAGTTCTGGGATTACAGGTATATAGCACTACATCCAGTTCAGCTGAGTCTTTTGGCAGGCTTATTTTTAGTCTTTCGTAGAGTCAATGAGGTGAGCACGCTTTTGTTACCCCTCTACTACATTATTTCTGGCAGTGGTGAAAGCTGGACTTGCTGCACATCTCTAGTTCTCCGATCTGCCCTCTTGGGAAATGTGGATCCTGGGTGTATCCTACCCCGTGAGTTAGAAGCTCACTCTGGGTCCACAGGCCTGCATGCTACAGAACATGCCTGTAGAAAGTGAAGCCATTTCTCCCATGTGGGATCTGCTTATTTCGGAGTCAGTTGTCAAGCTCGGTATCAGAGAGTTTCTTAACACACTACTGACTCCCCAGTAAAAGGTGTTTTTTTTTTTCCCCAGAGTTGTTGCATGTGTGTGGCAGAGTTTAGAAAAGTCAGTGATAGGGCTGGGAATGTGGCTCAAGTGATAGAGCACCTGCCTAGTAAGCAGAAGGCCCTGAGTTCAAACCCCAGTACTGCAGAAACAAATAGTGCCACACATTTCTATTTGTGGATCTGGCTTGACATGTGGCAGTGACCATGCTCCCAAATCGATCTATCACTGCAGCACGATTGCCATCCAGATCCCACCTGCCTTTTTATAGAAATTGACAAACTGATTATGAAATTCACTCAGAAATGTGAGGGACCAAGAATAGCCCACAGTCTTGAAAAATCAATGCTGGAGGAGGACTCACATGTCCTGATTTCAGGTCTGACAAAGCTGTAATAACCATGGCAATGTGAGTTGACATATGGATACACAGAGATCAGAGAAACAGGACGGAGCTCAGAAATAAAGCCTTTGTGGCCAGTGACTTTTCAGCTCCAAGATGGAATGGGGACAAGCGTTCCAACAATGTAGCTACGATGATGGGATAGCCACAGCAAAAGCACAGATGGGAAACATCTCATACCATAATCAAAAATGAACTCAAGCTGGGCGCCAGTGGCTTATGTAATCCAAATAATTCAGGAGGCTGAGATCTGAGGATCAGGGCTCAAAGCCAGCTCACATAGGAAAATTCTGAGACTCTTATCTTCAGTTAACTACCAAAAATGTGGAAGTGGAGCTGTAGCTCAAGTGGTAGAGCACTAGCCTTGAGCAAAAAGGCTCAGGGATAGAGTCCTGGCCCTGAGTTCAAACCCCAGGAATGGCACCAAAAGCAAAAACCACACACACACACACACACGCACACACACACACACACACACTCTCTCTCTCTCTCTCTCTCTCTCTCTTTCTCTCTCTCTCTCTCCCTGATAATAGATTATTAAACTCTTAAAAGCGATGTATAGACATAGACTTCATGAACTTGGATTAGGTGATTGTTTCTTATATTTGATCCCTAAGGTCCAAATAACAAAATAAACAGTACATAAATTAGGTCTCATCAAATATAAATACTGCTGTGCTTCAGAATCTTCTTTCACACCATCATGAATGGAGCACTGAAATCTGCGCTTCGATCTTGCCTGCCAAGCTGTCTCCTGTCTTCTGGCTACAGGACCACCCCTGCCTCCTTACATAGTGGCCCCCTGTCTGCCCCAACATATGCCTCTCTCCCAGACACTTCGCTGTTCTCTTCCATTGCTTGCCCTCATCTTTACAACTCTTCCAAACTCTCTTTCTCTTTGGTTTCTCTGTTGGACTCTTTGATTCTTGAGTATTATTCTGGGTTCAGGTCACTGATTTTCATGCATCAGCCCCCTCCTTTCTGGGCATGTGCTCAGAATCCGGGAGTAGTCATCTTCTTGGGGGCTGTGCGGAGCCTGGCCCTCCTGTCTCAGGACAGCCGGTGGAGCACCTTGGTCTGACTCCATCTCATACTCTGCACTTGCTTTCAGGAGCTCTGAACCCTGAGTAGATCACCTACTTTCATTCTGTGTCTTTTTCTTCAGTTAGGAAATAAACTGGGGTTGGGGGCAAAAGGGAGGGCTCTTAGTCTTTCTGGAATTGTCTGTGTCTGGCTTTCTTCTTACTCCCTTCAGATCTGCCAGATTTTCCAGCTGGTCTTGGTAGCCCCTTCTACTCTCAGATTGACTCATCTGATCATTTGTTAAGCACCAATTGACCTCCTGTTGGAGGCCAGACATGGGACTCTAGCTTTAGGGATTGGTCCCTGGGCCTTGCTCTAAGTGCTTAGGCTGGAGTTTCCTAGTGAGCTGGACTTCGTCAGTTCTCAGCTGCCTCATGGATGGTTGTCTATGTAGTTGGAGCAGTCTGCTTTAGTATCAGCCCCAGTTCTTAAGATAAATAGGTAAGCAGTGGATTGCTAGGCTGATACCATTAGGAGCTGGTATTTATATTTAATTCTGACTGTATTTACTGTCTTTCTGGGTCTGGTTTTCCTATTGTCCAAGAAGGAAGCAGGCAGAGAGCCTGAGTAGCTTGTCTGTAGTAAGAGGAAGGAAATGACATCTGCCTCCTGGATGCTGTGTCACTATCCCCCCCCCCTTTCTTCCAGAGGCAGGGATGGACCCAAGCCCCTTGTGATGCCAGGCAAGCGCGAGAGCTGCATAACCCCAACACTGGACATAATGATTTTTGACACTTTGTCTCTATCCTGAAAAATGGCTTTCATGAGTTCCTAGATAATAGATTTTATGCCCCTTTGTGATGTAGTGAAAAGGAGGAAAATTTCTAATTTAAAAACGTATGTAGACATTTTTTGTTTTGTCTATTGAGACCTAGATGATACCTTATAAAGCAATTTCTTGACCATTTTTCAGGACTCACAAATGCGCCAGAGTACAGCTTATAGCTTACATCAGCCTCAGGGAAACAAAGAACACGGAACAGAGCGGAATGGCAGCCTCTACAAGAAAAGTGATGGGTAGGTGAACCTGGGGACACTAGTGCTAGAGTTGAAATGTGTGTATGTTCATTGTCTCCCGTGTCTGAAATGTCTAAACTCTTCTTGTTTTCCTGCTTCCCCTCTAAGGATACGAAAAGTGTGGCAGAAAAGGAAATGCTCAGTTAAAAATGGTTTTCTGACCATATCCCATGGTACTGTAAGTACTACTCTCTTTTAATCTGTGGTCTTTATGTAGCTAAATGTGTTCTGTGCTGCTGTTAGTGACGTCAGGACAAAGGTGTTGGGCCTGTGTAGTGGTGTTGGGGGTGACTCTTGCAGTTTTTCTGTTAAAGAATGGGTGTGAGCTCCAGCATGTTTTACTGGGTGGAGTGTGGTTACCATGAATGGCAGCTTCACAGAGTCAAGAGCTGCCTATCAGCCACGTTCCCTGGAATGAGGAGCAATGCTGTTACTTCCAGGAGCCACAGAAGAGCAGGCAGCTCCCCTGCCAGCCTGTCCTGGGAGCTGAACATCCCACTTGGGAAAAGATTTCTATTTTTCCATTAAACGGAAAATACTTAAGTATTCAGAAATTAGAAATCCAAGAGAAAAGCCATTTCAGTAACTATGTTATACAAATCTCTGTGTTCAATCTTAGCTCTTTTTCCATCATCCTGTTTATAACAGCCCATGCCGAGTGCAGCGCTCATGCCTGAGCACAGGCTCATGTCTCCCATGTTTGGGAGGTAGAGAGTAGGGAGCATTCAAATGGGCAGAAAGTTCACGCTGTTATCTCAATAGAAGGTGGGCCTGAGGGTTCATGCTTGTTCTTTCACTGTATGGGAAACATAAATAGTAGGATCGTGATTGAGGCCAGCCCAGACATAAACTCATGACCTTATATGAAAAAATAATCAAACAAAAAGGCCTGGGGGTTTGGCTTTGCTCAAGTGGTAGTGTATCAGCCTATAAACATGAGGTCCTGAGTTCAATTCCCAGTACCATCCCTCTCCCTCCAAAAAAAACCCCAGAAACCTGAACCCTGTAGGTTAGCCATATAGAAAAACCAATCAGCTGGGTGCAGTGGCACATGCATGTAATCCCAGCTGCTTGGAGGTAGATCAAGAGGATCACAAATTCAAGGACAGCCTGGGCAAAAATACACCATGTAGCCAAGGGCTGGGAGTGTAATCCAAGTGGTAGATCACAGCCTAGCATTTGTGAAGAACTGGATTCAATCAAAGTACCACAAAAACAAAATGAAACAGCACAAAGGCAATCCGTAAAATGAGGTACAGAGACCAGGAGCTTCATCACAGTCCCAACACAGCTCTTCACAGAAAGTGGTAGGCATGGGGGAGACTGAGGCGGGGAAGCCAAGCAGGCTGGTAGGCAGGTGTGGGGCTGACTGGCCTGAGCTGAGCTGAGTGCTGTGTGGTTGGTAAGGCCAGTGTCCTCCGAATGTTCACACTCTTTTTCCCTTAGTGCAGGCCTTCCTTGTGTGCACACCGGCCACCTCAGTTGTGGCCCTGGGTGGCGGTGGCGGTGTCTTCTCTGAGCCTTCCTCTTGGTCCCTTCTCCCATTCTACATGAAAAACCCCGCTGGGCAGAGGCACAGCTTCTTGGGTCCTAGAGAAAGGTCATGGTGGCGGTGGGGTCCTGAGAAACAGCCCCGTTCCAGCCTGGCCTGTGCTGGAGTCTTTGTTTTCACCCATTCCTTCAGAGAAGGGGGAGAGGTGAGAGCTTACTAGGGTAGTCTGCGGGATATCTCTGTAACCTCTGCCTAGCAGATTTCCTATGATTCCAGACTGGACAAATAAAGGTCAGTCCCCTTTTTCAGAACCAAGGCTGCACTGGTCACTTCACTCCTGGGCTTAGCGGCCTGGTACATGACTCAGTGCCTCTCTTTCTGTATAGGTAGCTACACAAGCCAGGGAGGTGTGAGTGTTGTAGACTGAGAGCAACCGTACTTAACCCTGTCACGTCTTCAATGTTAGGGGTGTTGGACCAGAACATGGTCCAGTTTCCTTACTGGGCCTTACCACCTGTGATTCCTTTAAATTATCTGCTCGGTTGTTTTAACTCCGTTTTCTTTTACCACCTTGATGTAGAAATCTCATGAAATAAGACCAAGTTTTCCCTCATGGCCTTAACATTCTCAGCTCATAAGGCACATGTGCTTCATTGAGTTGCCCAAGCCCAGGGCCTCGGCTCTCTCCAGTGACAGGACAGTAGCTGGTGACTCTTTGCCAACAGCATAAGTTGTTTCTAGTCACTTCCAGCCCTCAGTTTCCTCTCAAAAGTTGCAGTGGCAGTAGTTCTTTAAATGAATGTGGGTTGCCCCTGTTTGGGGGAGAGCGTAGTCATGAGCAGGTCCATGATACGGAGGGCGCTGCTTGCTGCCCAGCATGCACTGGTAATGCGAACTTTGTACTTTGAGGGGAGCCTTTCTACGGACCTCTTCGGGATACCTTATTCTGCATTCGCAGCCATTTAGCTGCACCCCCACTCCCGCACCCCAGTAGCTTGCTTCCCAGACTCTCGTCAGTTGCTGAGGGTTCCTTTTCTCCCCTTGCCTGTGTGTTGCTATTCAAACCCTGGCAGTCAGAACCCTGAAGATCCTTCATGGTCCTGTGTTTTATTTTATTTTATTTTTGGTTATGGGGCTTGAACTCAAGGTCTGGGCGCTGTCCCTGAGCCTCTCTGTGCTCAAGACTAGTACTCTACTACACAAGCCACAGTGCCACTTCCGGTTTTTGAGTGGTTAATTGGAGATAGCGTTTCATGGGGACATTTCTGCCCAGGCTGGCTTCGAACCATGATCCTTAGGTCTCAGCCTCTTGAGCAGCTAGTGTTACAGGTATGAGTCACTGGCGCCCAGCTGGTCCTGTACCTTTAAGTATTTGCATGTGGAGCTCTGAGTGACCTAGATGAGAAAGAGAGTTGATATGATGCCTCTTTATGTGGTGTGACTGTTAGTGTCTCTGACCTGTTTAGCAGCAGCCCCTTGTGTATGCTAGTTTCCCATCAGAAAAAGGATCAGACTCCCAAAGATGGTCCCAAGAAAGGGGAAGCTAAAGGCAGTTCCTGGTTCACCACCAGGAGTCCCACTGCTAGAAACGGGAAGCCCCCAGGGCGCATGTGAGTTAGGAAGACGGAAGCTGGCAGCGTTTGGGAAGTGAAATTGCTATCCTCTGTTTTCAAGCAGAGCAATGAGGATTCCATCCTGGATGGATTCAGTCGGAGCTCACTCTGGTATTCTGCAGTAGCCCCGACCAATTGTGTTTCTGGCACGGGGAAGAGCGCTCCTTGGGATGACGCACTGTCATTAGGCGCCTTCCCTGCCAAGTTACAGCACTGCCACACCATGCAGGGCTGGCAGGGCTGGATTATTCTGGAAGAGGCTCCCATTGGTTCTTCAGCAAACTGATTTTTTTAAAAGTGATGATGGTCATGCAGGAAGAATGCAAACTTCCTTTTAAAAGCCTGACAAATTGGTAAAAAGGATGACATGATTAAAATAGCTGTATCCCTTAGATTCTGTGCCTTCAAGGCAGATATACATTAGGCTATTAGATCTGCCCTTCTTCCTGAATTTTGCACAAAACTGGAGCTTCTCAGTGAAAGGTAGACTGCCTTGTAAATGAGATAAAACTGATGTACAAACTTATGGGTGGGGGCAGGAGGGAAAAACTGGGAGAGCAAGGGAAGGGGTGACATTGTCCAAAAAGAAATGGACTCTTTACCTGATTGATGTAACTGTCACCCCTCTGTGCATCACCTTTATAATAACAATTTTGAAAACAAAAAACAACCCTGTAGTGCAGCCAAATGGATTGATGACATCTTGTTTCTAAAGTGGAGTCAGAAGAGGATTTTGTGGATGGAATTTTTTCTCACAAATTCTTCTTTCAGCTTTACTGTGGCTAACTGCTTCCTGTAAATGGGCAAATTTGTTTTTGTTTTTGCTTTATGTTTTTGTGGTACTAGGGTTTGAACTCAGGGCTTTGTACTTGCTAGGCAAGTGCCTTATTGCTTCAGACAGGGACTCTTCTATTTCAGCCATGACTTTAGCACTTTTTTTTCTGTCAGTTGTGGGGCTTGAACTCTGGGCCTGGGCATTGTCTCAGCTCTTCAACTCAAGGCGAGCAGTGCCACTTCCAGTTTTCTGGTGGTTAATTGAACATAGGAGTCTCACAGACTTTCCTGCCCAGGCTGGCTTTGAACCACGATCCTCAGATCTCAGCTTCCTGAGTAGCTAAGATCACAGGCGTGAGCCACCGGCACCCAACCCTTTAGCATATTTTGCTCTGGTATTTTTTGTTGTTGATGATGTTTTTATTTGTTTTTGGTGCCAGTTCTGGAGCCTGGACACTGTCCTTGGGCTTTTTTGCTCAAGGCTAATGCTCTACCACTTAAGCCACAGCTCCACTTCAGGCTTTTTGTTGTTAATTAGAGATTGAGATTCTCACATTTTTCCTGCCTGGGCTGGTCTCGAACCACTATCTTCAGATCTCAGCTTCCTGAGTAGCTATGATTACAGATATGAGCCACTGGTATTCACTTGCTCTGCTTACTTTTTTTTTTTTGGTCCGATAGTGGGGCCTGAACTCTGGGCCTGGGTGCTGTCCCTCAGCCCTTCAGCTCAAGGCTAGCGTTCTACCACTTGAGCCAGTGCCACAGTGCCACTTCCGGCTTTTTTTCCCTGCTTATGTGGTGCTGAGGAATCGAACCCAGGGCCTCATGCATGCAAGGCAAGCACTCTACCACTGAGCCACCTTCCCAGCCCATTGCTCTGCTTACTTTTGAAGCAAGGTATTGCTTTTGCCCAGCCCAACCCAGGACCACTATCCTTCTACTTCTGCTTCTTGCATAGCTAGAATAGCAGGATAACAGGTGCACACCTCCATGCTTGGTCCTTTTTAATGGTTTCCATTTGCTGTGAAGTGAGAAATGTGTCTTTGAGGGTAGTTACCTTAGAGAATGAACAACTTCCCTCATGCCACGGGGAGGAGGAAAGGTTAAAAGTTAAAGGTAGTGAGGGAGAATGGCTGTGCTTCTCTGCTGCTCCAATTAAGTGCAGGATAGCCCTTGCCTTCCCTGGGTGTGCTGTCCAGGCCAGGGACTGTGCATGTTGTGATATCATTCAGAGAGAGGCTCATCACTGTGAAATGCATCGCTCATGTACGGGTTTCTGGACGCGCTGATAGTCCTGTTGGTGAAGCTCAAAAACTGATGTTGATTTTACTTGGAACTCTCAATATTAGGCAGGGTGGAGTCTTCTAATGCTGAGTATGATGATCTGTTAGTAGTTTAGTCAGTGAATCCAGTCACTGGAGAATAGGGTACACATTGGCTTTTACAGAGGAGGTTAGACACCCCAGCCAAAAACGAGGAGAGCCTGCTTATCCAAAGTAGGCAGATCCTTCAACAAACCCAAACTCTGCCTCTGCAAGGATCAGCCCCATCATAAGGGGGGATGAAGACCCCGTCAGCTCTCTAAAGTCAGAGGTGGTAACCTCTGGTCTGTGAGCCCAGGAGCTCACACACGCATGCCTGGCGGCTGGTGTGAACGGGTCTGGATTAACCCCACATACGTGTCATGTGTCTTGAAGCAACTGGTAGCTGCTGGAAAGAGACACAAGAACTGGTGAAGTTTAAGGCATTTTTTGCTTGATATTTCTTTCAGCCTCTTGGTAGGGTAAGAGAAGCCCATTCATAGTTGAAGGCTTCTCCAAGATTTTTAAAGCATGTTGTCACTCAAGACGTTTTCCCTAACCATCTGTTCTTTGCTTCTTTGGATTAAATGTAATTTTATTTTTTGAATTAGTAAAATAGACATTTTTGGTACATTTCTGACAAAAGTACACTGTGATCTCTGGTGGGTGGGAGCTGGGGTTACATATGTAAATGAAGTGTATTTTGTTGAAACTTGAGTGACAGTAATGATTGACATTTATGACTGAATCTGTTACCTGCTATCACTTCTGAAAGTGAGGACAATTATTTCTCTGCCATTTTTGTGCAGAGATCACTTTTTCTATTTAGAAGTGAGGTTTTTACTCAGCTGCACTTAAACTGGAGCTTGGCTTAGTGGTAGAGCACCTGCCTAGCAAATGCACTTACATAGGCTTTACTTCAAACTCTAGCAATACCAAAAAGAAACAAAGAGAAATGCTGTGTGTGTGTGTGTGTGTGTGTGTGTGTGTGTGTGTGTGTGCGCGCGCGCATGCGCGTGTGCGTGCGTGCCTGTGTGCATGCGTGCACACGCATACCTGTGTGTGTGGGGGTGCATGCATGCCTATGTACCTACATGCCAATACTGGGGCTTGAATGCAGGGCCTGGGCTTTTTTGTTCAAGACTGGCACTCTCCCACTTGAGCCACAGCTTTACTTCTGGCTTTTTGGTGGTTAATTGGAAATGGGAGTCTCATAATCTTTCCTACCCACATTGATTTCAAGCCATGATCCTCAGATCTTAGCCTCTTGGGTAGCTGGGATTGACATGTATAAGCCAACAATGCCCAGCAAAACAACAACAAGAAGACATTTAAGAGCTCCAGATGTGAAGCTAGATGCCCAGTTTCCCTAGGAAACTGAGAGCCCTGGAGAATTTTATCTAGGGAGTCCATCGCCACCAGCCGTGAAGCTGCCCCTGCGCGCCCCCTTGTCCCGGGTGGGTTTGTGTAGACCACCACAGGTACTCTGGCAGGGAAAGCAGTGGCCTCTGCCGTGGAGTCCCGAACCCTGCAGTGTTGCTCTCAGGCTTCTCGGCTGAAAGCCTGCCTTCCAGAAAGAGTCTCCCCATTCTAGTCAAGAGCGAGCTCCTGCTGTGTTCTCAGGAGCAGAGGAGGTGCCCTCGCTGCTCCCCACTCAGCCCGTGCTTTGTGTTTGTGTTTCAACAGGCTAACCGGCCGCCCGCCAAGCTCAACCTTCTGACCTGCCAAGTGAAGACCAACCCGGAGGAGAAGAAGTGTTTTGACCTCATCTCTCGTAAGGTTCCTTCTGAATGCTGTGTGTGCTATAGAGAAGTTATTTTAAATTCTCAAAGGCACCAGACACAGCGTACTGAAGAACTAATTTTGGAAAGAAACATCCTTTTTTTCCAGTGTCCTGCTGCTTCTGTCTTTCTGTCTGTGGCAGTTGCTTGCCATTGAACTCAGGACCGCCCCACTCCATGGGCTCTGTGAACTGAGAGACTCCACACAAGGAGATTGTGCCGGATGGGACTCAGGCCTGAAACCCCTTTGCCTGGTTTGTTAAGAGGACATTTAGCTGCAGAAGCCTTCCATAATTTATTCGTGCAATGTTAGAAATGCTGTGAACAACAATGAGGGGTCTTCAGGGAGCCTGGAAACTTGAGTTTGGGGAATCATCTTCCCCACCACAGAATTAGTCTTTGCGCTTCTGTTTGCGTTTCTTCTTTGTGGCATACCCAGAGCAGTCACCATGGAACCATCTATTACAGCAGATGTTTACTAAACAGAAGCACTCACACCCTCCAAGTTAAGGGTATGTGCTGTGGTAGAGAAAGCAAACCAGGCGTGGTGTATGCCAGTAATCCCAGCCCGAGGAAGGTGAAGGCAAGAGGCTTACAGGTCGAGGCTGGCATGAGCCAACCAGCACATCAGTGTTTTTGAGACCCTCTTCTCAAAAAAAGGAAAAAGGAAACAGAATACTTGTTTTAAAACCTCGTGTTCTTGGTTGTTGCATATAACAGGGTTACAGTAGTTTGGGGTTGGACAGGCCAAGTCAGGAGGGTGTTATCCCACCGGCTTTGCTGGTTTCTGCTACTTAACCTCCCTGGATCTCGGACCATCCATCGCCCAGCCAGCTCACTAACAGTCACTGTAGTTTCAGGAGCTAAAACCACTCCTGGAGGATGGCATGTCGTCTGCTTATTTTTAGGGTTACCAATATTTGTGGGTGTCCCAAATGTCACCACAGTCATCTGTAGAAGTTACACCTCCTCTTTTTTCTCTTAAAGTTTAATTTTTTCCCTTTACTGACTGATTGTGTAGGCAGAGACTTCCTGTATATATGCCACACAGCTTCCCCTACTTCGCATATCTTAGTACAGTGAGTCAGGAGTGTAGCATACAGACGAATAAGGAGAAATCCTAATTGAGGGATCCATATGTGCAGTTATGAAAACACCAGGAACATTGACACCCAGTGCTGCTAACTGAAAATCTCACCTTCCATTAATGCCCGTGCTTGGCGCCAGGATTCCCTCCAGGCCACCACATTGCATTTAGCTGTTATTATCTTGCTTCTCTATGGTCAGCAGTGCTGTAGGCTTTTCTTTTATGACCTTGACACCTTTTGAGAGTATTGATGAGTTTTGGTGTTAAAAGCCCCTCCATGTGCATGTCTCTAGAGTTTCTTGTGATTGAACTGAAGTTATTGTTATTATTTTCTTTTGCAAGAATAACACAGAAATGATGTCACCTCCCACAGCACTGTGTACACAGGCCTAGCAGCCCACAGAACACTTTAACCACTGCCAAGACCAGCTGTACATGACTGGCTTTTTGTATTTGCCCATCACTTAATGATACACTCTGTCCTTAGCCAGAGTACTCCTCTGATGAGTCTTTGAAAAGGCTTTCAGCTGGGCGCCAGTGGCTCACACCTGTAATCCTAGCTACTCAGGATGCTGAGATCTGAGGATTGAGGTTCAAAGCCAGCCAGGGCAAGAAAATCCATGGGACTCTTACCTCCAGTCAATCACCAGAAAACCACAAGTGGTACTTGGCTCTACAGCTCAAGTGGTAGAGCTGAGGAGCTGAGGGACAGTGCCCAGGCCCAGAGTTCAAGACCCCGACCGACCCCCCCCTCCCCCCAAAAAGTGTCTTTCATTCATGGGGACCAACTCTGTAGTGAATTTTAAAAATTAAAGCCTTTGAGAGGATAGCTATGGTTTCCATTAGCCCACTTCCCTTTCAGCCTGGAGTGGGAGGAATAGGGTAGGTTTCTTCCTTTGCATTATGAAGCCAGAAGTACTGAGGAGGACAGACATTTGAAGGACTTAAGGAGTGCTTGATTGAAATCATTAATTTCCTGGCAGAGAGCTAAGGTGATCTTTGAGATTAGTGATATGCACTCTGCCCCCGTGTTGGGTCTGGCTCACAGTCTGGCTCACAGTTCTTGACCAATCTCCTCTTGTCATGCAGATGACCGGACGTACCACTTTCAAGCAGAAGATGAACAGGAATGTCAGATGTAAGTTGTAGAGGTAGGGCTTGGGGCAGGACCCCACTGAGGTTCTTGGAAGTCACATTCTCCACTCTGTTTAGATGGATGTCTGTGCTGCAGAACAGCAAGGAAGAGGCACTGAACAATGCGTTCAAAGGAGATGACAATACTGGAGAAAATAACATAGTCCAGGAGCTGACCAAGGAGATCATCTCAGAGGTGCAGAAGATGACGGGCAACGGCGTGTGCTGTGACTGCGGGGCACCAGGTGACCGGGGGACCCCATTCCACCCCAGGCTCTAGAACATTCCTCATTCGGACTCAGAATCCCTCCACTGATTTTCACTTTCATTTCAAACATGAAATTAAGTGCAGCTCAGCCTGAGTTCATCCCATTACACAAATGTTTAATGAACTGTGTGCAGACCTGCCGGGCCCCAGAGCAGTCTGAAAACAGAAGGTGGGGAGGAAAAGACTCAATGCTCTTTGAGAAATGAAATCAGAAGGGTGAGGTAAGGGTGAATTGAAGGTCATTCAGTCTCACAGGGGCTCTGAGAGGCTGCAGGAGCCCAGTACCTGCCTGGGGTTTACGCCAGCTTCCCTGCCCTACTTTCTAGAATTCATAAAGTAACTTTCAGTTATTGTTTTACTCTGTGACTCTGAAAGAGCCCCTGCTAAATGCAGAAACAGGTCCTTCCTCCCTGTCAGGTTTTATGACAAGGACATTCCTGTCTGTATATTGATAGAGAGTATCAGAGGCCTGTTTTTAACTAATACAGAATATAGTAGCAACTGGTACTTTAAAGTGTAAGGGTTGGTGTATTATAATTAAATGGGAAATGACAGGGATTCTTTCTGGAACATTTGGAAACCAAGAAGGTTGTGACTTGGTCAGTGTTTTTCCATTTCTCTAGTTCTATGCCAATTTCTGTTAGAAACAACCAAAGCAATTGAGAAGTACTATTGGGTTCCTGGTTTCCTGAAGGCTGCATTTAGTCTTGGATCCTTTGTGGAAGGAGAATGGGGTAGTGAGTGATAGGTGAATTGTGTTCTTTCGTGAGAAAGGTAAGGATGGTGAAATACTTTTACATGTAGGAAGCCACAGGAATGTTCATTGTTCTAAAGTCCTAAGCCAGCATGGGTGATGTGAAAATTCAATGCACCCATCTTGAAGCCCCTGTACCTGCCCATAGCAAGGTGAACACAGAAGAATAGGCTGAGTTCACCTGCAAACATGGATGACAGAAGAATTTTCTGATGTGGTATAGCTTTTTACAAAAATAGCTTGGTGATTACCCAGAGCACCTGTCACTTAAATGAATGGGACAGTGGAGGAAGAGGGGGGTGGGGGGAAAACAGATGTCTGCCTATTTGTGCATTGGCTGTTATTTGTTATGGATGATTGAAAGGTTCTAGCTGTATCAAAGCTCAAGAATATTCTCATATTGAAAGCCTTGTATTCTGTGAAAAGGCAGGACGTAAGTTCTACCTCCTACCCAGTTCTGACAGCAAGCTCTAAGTTGCCTGTTCTCTTCGGCAGATCCCACATGGCTTTCCACCAACCTGGGCATTTTGACTTGCATCGAGTGTTCTGGGATCCACCGAGAGCTGGGGGTTCATTACTCCAGAATGCAGTCCCTCACCCTGGACGTCCTGGGAACATCCGAGCTGCTGGTGATTTGATTTGGATTGGATTAAATTAGGAAAAGAGCTGTTTTTATTTTTACCTTCTAGTCCATTTTGGTTTCTTGAAATTTCAGTGGGCTGGTAGTTGTTATGCTGCCAGATGGGTTTGGTAATAAGCTCATTGATAAGTTCTCATTCTCAGTCGTAAATTGAGGGTACTTCTTGTTGCAAATATTAAATGCAACACAAAGTGAAGCCAAACAAAGGCGTGTTGAGACTGGAGCAGGATTCTGCTGATGCAGATTTAAGGATGGGGCATGGCCCACTACACCCATCCATTAAACAGGTGCTAATTTTCTTTAAAAAAAGAAAAAAGGAGGCTCTGATTCTTGAGTCAGTAGTGACGTGAAAGCCCATGCTGGAGAGAGGCGGAGACTGAGGCCCCTGTGAAGCAGGTGTAGAGCTGGGGACTGTGGTCCACTGTGCATCAAAGTTAGTCACACTCAGGGTACACATCTGGCCACCTAGACTCCCAGCCACCACGGACTGTTCCCAAGTCTGCAGCTGCTGGTTAGGAAGCAGTGCTTGAAATTCTTTTCTTGAGGTAGCTGGGTGTTGGACAGTAAGTAGTAAGTGGATATTGATTGCCATTGATTTTAATGTCAAGAGCAATCGTCCCAACTGAACAGCAGTTTCTTGGGTTAGTATTCCTCCTCTCCTAGTGTTGATGACTGAGGGTCCTGGGGGTGTGAACTATCTTGTGGGACCCTTTCAGTCCTCCTGAGTAATTCCTTTATGGTTTTGGGAGCCAGAGTTGGGAGAAGCTAGAGTAGATTCTGATAATTCATGTTGTAATATCCCTGGGTACTTAAAGGTTAAAGTCAAGCTAGACTCAGCAGGATCCTCACAGTGTGCTCTGGGCTGGGAACGGTAGTTACTGTTGACCTACAGATGCAGAGGCCTGCATGGAGGAGGGCTGTGTGCACACAGGTTGCTCCTCCCGGTCACGGGCTCAAATTTGAGGATGTTTATGTCACAGTATGTTAACCGAGATCACTTACTTCTATGGATTTGCTTCTGGCTGTGGAAGCACTCAGTGACTTACAGTGAGATAATCACTTCCTTTGTAGTAGGCACTTTGCAGGACACTGTATGTATTAGCTCTTTTGCTCTCTACAATAGCCCTGCGACCTTCCTCACCAAGGAAAACTGGCTTGCAATATTCTATTATGCTCAGGGTTGTATGCCTGGTAGTATGGTGGCAGATCTGAGATGTAGGTCCTGTCATCTGGTTCCAAGGTTCACACGTGAATTTTGAGGCTCGTGGGATATAAGCTGGGATTTGGGGTGAGTTGTCTTGCCGTGTGATAAGCGTTGTAAGCATCACATCTGCCCCTCCCTGTAGCCTATCCCTGGCAAAAGTTTAACAACGACTTCAGGGGAAAAAATCCCTAGTTTACGGCCTGCCTATTCCTGTGGTATACATACATCCACCATGGCCAATTTCTAGCTACCTGTGTAAGTTATTGTGGAGCTGGAAAGAGATGCTCAGTGCACAGTGTTTCTCTCGTGTATTCAGCGGAGCACACCGAACATAGACAATAGCAAGATAATTAGGAAATGCGGAGAGACTGTTTTAGTTGTGTTGTTTTGTTGAGGTAGGGTCTCACTTTGTACCATGGGCTAGCTCTTCATTGCCCAGCTGAGTGCTGGGTTTTCAGCGTCTGGCCCCTTCATTCTCCGTATGGTATAAAATTTAATAGCCATGCTTAACGGCTATGTCACACATGCACCAAAACAATTTAGCAGTTGGCTCTCAGAAGCTAGTCAGGTGGACTCCAGCCTGTAACTTCAGAAATGCATCTCAAAAACAGATTCGTGATCTTTGTGAGAGTCCATTGCAAAGGAAAGCACCAAAGAAGGTGAGAGGAGCACCTCCAGTCATGATGGGACGGTAGAGTAACTTTGAACCCACATTGGTGCCAGCCCCAAGCCTCTGTCCATATTCTCCTTGAAGCTGAATGGCTACTGCCACTTGTGAGAAACCAGGCCGAGCCTCATTCAGGTGCCTGCAGCTATTTGCACAATCTAATTTCTGCCGTAGTTTCATACTGTCCTTCCACTAGGCCTCTTTTCCTGAGCGTGGTGGTGTGGGGTTTGCTTCCCTGCGGGCCTTGCCTGGGGTCTGGATGGGACTGGCCTCTCTGAGCTCAGAAGAAGTGGCCTCCATGCTTCACCCCAACCCCCATGTGCATGTGCTAGGACTTCCGGCATGATCCTGTCCACAATACCGATTCTCAGCCCTTCTCAGTGAAGCATGAGCGTTCATTTGTAAAGCACAGGAATGTCAAGCTGCTTTAAAAGGATCTGGTTTGTTTGTTTTGCTTAGACAACCAGAAGCCTGAACAAAGAATTTCCTGACATCTTGTCACCCCTCCCCCTTCTTTATTTGTGTGTATTTAGAATTATGTCTGGCACATAGAAAAAGCTGCAGAATAGTAACTATCTTCATTATATCTCCCTCTAAGATGGTCTTAACAGTGCTTTCAGAGAAATGACCCACATGCCTGAGTTTTTGGTCTGTGTGAGAGCCCACTGGCTCTACCAGGGATGCCTGTTCCTTGTGTGGGTCTTCCTGCTCCATAGGGCAGTGGTGCCAGGCCCTTTGGCTGACTTGTTAATCACAGTACATTTTTTTTGTTTTTGTGCAGCAGATATTGCCAGATTTCTTTTTTTGGGGGGTAGGGGAGGTCTGGTCGTGGGGCCTGTACTCTGGGCCTGGGCACTGTCCCTCAGCTCTTCAGCTCAAGGCTAGCGCTCTACCACTTGAGCCACAGCGCCACTTCTGGCTTTTTTTTCCTTTTTGCTTATGTGGTGCTGAGGAATCGAACCCAGGGCCTCATGCATGCAAGGCAAGCGCTCTACCACTGAGCCACCTTCCCAGCCCCTTGCCAGACTTCTTAAATGCTCTTATTATAGAGATCAGTGGGAGCCCTGTGCCAGTGACTCACACCTTTAATCCTAGCTACTCAGGAGGCTGAGATCTGAGGATTGTGGCTTGAAGCCAGCTCAGGCAGGGAAGTGACATGAGACTCTTTATCTTCAATAAACTATTCAGAAAAAGCCAGAATTGGCGCTGTGGCTCAAGTGGTAGACTGCTAGTATTGAGCACAAATAGTCTCAGGGACAGTACACAGTGGACAGTACACAGTCCCTGAGTTCAAGACCCAGGACTGGCACAAAAATGATCAGTGGGCAGCCTAGACAAGGTAGCTCAGCGGCTTCCAACCTGTTAGGTTAATAACAGCCTGCGTCTAAGGGTGACGTGCTGTAATTACAAGATTTTGTTTAATTTATTTTTATTGTATTGCAATTTACAACTGTGATGTTCTGATGCATTGTATATTTGGTAGAATGATTAAATCAAGCTAGTTAACTTATCCATCTCCCATGCTTATCTTGTTTTGTGGTAAGAACACAAAATTTACTCTTTAAGTGGTTGTTATTAGCAACCATACTTCCTGAATTCCCTCCAGAATTTATTTATTTGCCCTAATTTACTGAAATTGTATGTCGTTTGTCCAGTCTCTGTATCGCTCCTCTCATCTTCTGTTCCTTGGCTTCTGTGAGTTTGACCTTTTACATTGCAGGTATAAATGAGTCCAGGTGGAATTTGTCTTTCTGAGCCTGTCATATTTTACTGAACATAATGCTTTCCAGATTCATCTATGTGGTCACAAATGATATAAATTTATTCTTTTTTAAAAGTTGAATAGTATTTTATTGTGAATATGTGCTACATTTTCTTTATCCATTTATCCATTGATAGAGTATTGGTATCTCTTGGGCATACTGCCTTTATTTCTTTGAGTATATAGTCAGTAGTGGGTACATACACAGGTGGAGCATACACAGATCTGCTTCTGGCCTGGGGGAACATACTGTTTTCCCTAGTGGATGTACAGGTATAGAGGCCTACTCACAGTGGCAAGAGTTCTTTTCCCCTCTCTTCACTGATGCTTTCTCACTGTGCCGATAGAAGCCATGCTTATAAATGTGAGGTGGTTTCAGTTTGCATTTCTTTGGTAATTAGTCATGTTTGTTGGCTTTTATGTGTCTTCTGAGAAACGCCTGTTTTGGTTTTTTTGCTTCTGATTTAATAAGGCTATTCTCTTGCTGTGTAGTTATTTGAGCTCTCTGTATTTTGGGTTTTGTCCTGGTATCAGACCAGTGTTTTTTTCCCATCATTGTCTTATAACTACTCAGGAAGGTGCAACCTGGGGATCACCATTCACAGCCTGGGCAAGAAAGTCTGTGAGACTCTTATGTCTACTTAATTACCAAAGTGCAGGAAGTGAAGCCCTGGCTCAAGTGGTAGAGTGCCATTTGTAACTAAAAAGCTCAGGGACAGCACCCAAGCCTTGAGTTCAAAACTCAGGACTGTGCATGGGCGAGTGCGTGTGCATGCGCGCGCACACACGCATACGCTTTCTGTTTTGTGTGGACAGCTGCATCCAGAGAGGTTGCTGGTGCCTTATGTTTAGAAACCTTCTCACTTATGGAAAACGTGGTTAGGTGAAGTATTAATAGATTAGTTTGGCAAAATTGCATCATCTCACAGCTCTAGTATACAATGGCTTTGCTAAGCTACTGCCTTAGATTTTCAATGAACTTACTTTCAGAAACCTGCTGGCAAGCATACTTTTAAAAGATAAATTTTCTTGACATAGAAGATCTTTACTTCAGCACTGACTTTTTCCAGTTACCCCCAGTCCCAGTGTATGAACTGTTTCCCTGATCAAAAGTGGAATAAGGAAACTTTGCTGTTTTGACATTGAACTTTCACTCTTCCATCAGGTTGTAGCTCAAGCGTCAGGAAGCTGAGACAGCTGCCTTTCTCATGCAGTTGTTACCAAGCTGTCAGACACTAAAGCCAAGCAGCACACAGCCAGGCCACAGGAGCAGGTGGAGAGGAAGCCCTTCAGAGATCCCTCGCTGCTGTTTCTCTACTACAGAAACCAGGCTGGGCGCTAAAAGCAATTGCTTAGGGCAGTGAGGAATTGAGCATCATTGAATCAGTGATGCTCCGGGCATTGTCCTAGATACGTTGTCCTTTGTGTCTGACCTAAGCAAGAACTCTTTGAAAACAGATCCATGAGGCTAAGAAACGGCCTGGTGCATGCACCTGAGCAGCATTTATAGTTTCAACCCTTGAGGTGTGCCAGCCTTCACCAGAATCACAGCTTTTAAGTTAATGTTAGCCACAACCCTGTCATAAAAGAGTGGAGCACCTAAACATGTATGTATATTGTCATGTATGCCAGAGGGAAGTTTCAAGACTCAGAGGGAAGCATAGCCTGTGGACTTCCTTCCCGCAGCCCAGATGTCCCACCCCACCGTGCAGCTCCCTGGTTTCTGGGCCCTCTTGTGTCTGTTCCGTACGCCCGTGTACACCCTGGCACTTTGAGTCCTCCACCTTGCTATCCTCCCAGGGCCTATTACTAATATTCTCATTTCCTGCCACAGAAAGCGAGGCCAGTAGCAGACAGCTGTTGGCAGAGGCCCAGTTGGCTGCATAGTTTCCATGTGGGGAGCGAGGGTGGGGTGGGGGGTGGTACCTGTGTGATTGCCGTCAGCCCCTGGTTGGGAACCGAGGGGACTGAGACCAGAGCACAGCTGGGAGGCGCAGGCCGTGCTGCTGCCCCTGTGTGAGGAGAGGAGGCCCAGACACACGCACCAGGGTCAGAGGAGCCTTGCCTTCCTCACTTCTGGGTTCTCTCCTCTGGAGATAAAGACAGAGGAACAGAAAGGAGAAGAAAACGATAAGGGATGTCCCTGTCTGTGGAAATGGTGGATAGGCTGTTTGCTGTTCCCCTCCCAAACTACCTGAAGCTTCTTTCTGGCTTTAGTGGCCTCCTGCTATTTGCTGTGAGCCCTGCTCTTCCTCCTACCCACCCCCTTTCACATACCCATGGGGTGAGTGCTGTGGAAGATGGTGTTTCTGGTCACCTGGCTGTTCTCCTCACCCAAGCTTGGCGTCTCCATGCTCATGGGGCTCCAGTTCAGTCCTCGTTTCCTGCCTCATGCTGTGTCTGTCTCATCTAGTCTCTCTGTCTTGTTGGACATTGTACAGTATAACAACAAATTTATGTTGTAGTAGATATTGTAGGTAATCTAGAGGTAAAGTGTAGAAGGTGTGTGTGTTATACACAGATACTCTACTATGTCATGTAAGGAGCTTCAGCATCTTTGGGTTTTGTTATCCTCACGGGATCTGGAGCCCATCCCCTGTAGACACAGATGACTGAATTAATTAACACTTGGGCCTCTCCTAGGTCCAGTCTAGCTTCGGTTCTGCCTGGCACGTGGCAGTGACGAGCCTCGATGTCAGGGCTCTGGCTCACATCCCACCTTCCTCCCCATGCCCTCTCACTGGCATGCTGGAGCCCACGTCTTCCATCTGGTAGGATCCCACAGGCCCGTCTGCAGAGGTGTTGTCTGTGTTGGTGCCAGAGGGCTGCCTGCAGGACGCAGGGTGAGCGCTTGCCCAGCACTGTGATCTGCCGACGCCGTGCTCTCTGACCAGCCGCCCCACTAAGCCAGCCTTGTCAGGCAGAAGCAGCTTTTCAGCGCCTGGCACTCCTCCCTAGCGCCCCAACCCCCACCTGCTTCGCTGCAAACTGGGAGGTGGTTCACCAAGAGTGTCCCCGTGGCTCCTATCACTCCCTGCCGACAGTGACAGTGAGCAACTTGGCTCAGGGATGCTGTCCATACGTGCTGCGTATGCACTCAGCACACCTGTCTGCAAGCCCAGGGCCCTGATAGTGAGACTCGGTCCTATTCTGACATTTATTGCCCAAGAAATCCTTCCTAGGGCACTAACCCCATGCTGTGTTGGTACTTGTCACTCTATGTACTGTGCCACCCCGACTGACCATCGGCTTCATACCTGTGTCCTGGGATTTTGCTCTTTGACCCCTGCGGGAGGCCCCAGTGACAGATTTGAGCAAAGAGGAGTTGGTTAGAGGGTAGTGCTTTGGGATTCTCTTTATAGGTAGCTTTGTTCACTTGCCAGGGTCAAGGTACAATCTAGGAAGGCTCGCCACTTAAGAATTAAGCTCCCCCTCTTCAGTATTCTGCATCCTTCTCTGTGCAGCTTCCTGTCTGATCCATCTTCCCCGGAAGTTCCCCCCCCCACAAACCAGGTCCCCTTGGCTCCCCCTGGAGATAGACCAGACTATCGCTGCCTCCCCTACCCCCTATCCATAGCATCTCTGTTCATCTTCAGTTAGCGTAGTTGAGCTAAGAGATACAGAAATGTAGCCTGGCACTGGTGGCTTATTCCTGTAATCCTAGCTCCTCAGCGGGCTGAGACCTGGAGAATGGTGGTTCAAAGCCAGCTCAGGCAAAAAGGTTTGTGAGTTTCCATCTCCAACTAGATGCCTAAAAGCATGTCTCATAAGTGGAAATGCCAAGTGTGAGTATGTGGCCTTGACTTCAAGCCCCAGTTTACCTCCCCCCTCAGAATAAAAGAAATAGAGTAATGCCACCAGCTGCCCCAACCTGTCATTTCAAGGTGGAAATTGGATACTATTCTCAGCCAGGTGCTGGTGGCTCACGCCTGTGATCCTTGCTACTCAGGAGGCTGAGATCTGAGGTTCGCAGTTCAAAGCTGGCACAGGCAGGAAAATCCGTGACACTCCAGTAAACCACTCAGAAAACTGGAAGTGGCGCAGTGGCTCAAGTGGTAAAGCACTCGCCTTGAGCTGAAGAGCTGAGGGAGAGCATCAAGCCCCAGAACTGACAAAAACAAAAACCAACCAAATAAAAAAAACCTGTTCTCTCTAAGCACTGTTAGGCGCTCCCTTGTAGTGTCATTTCATGAAACATTTAGGAATCTGACTTGGAAAGTAATGTAGTCTTTATCTGACTTTTGTAACTATGACCCCTCTGTTCATCACATTTATAATAACTATAAAAATTTTAGTAAAAAAAGAATCTGTCTTGGGGGCTGGCATACACACTTGTTTACCATGCAGGAGGCCTAAGTCTTAAGTTCTGTTAGTGAACACAGCACACACGCACGCACACACAAACCTGACCTGGAAGCCTGCTCTGAGGCAGATGCTGAGCTGAGTGTTAAGGGTGAGTCTAGGATAAGTCTTGGCTCTTCAGGAGCTTCTGGTCATTCTCCAGTCTTTTAGTGAAGATAGTTGCCTTGCTCTCAAGCTATCAAGCTAGCACAGTGCCTGGTCTTCGTTAGAAGATGTTAATTTAATATTCACCTAGTCAAGTGACCAGTGGTTACATACAGACCTTAGGTTGACAGCTAATACATAGCATTTTGGGTGCTGCGTCTAGTGAATGTTCTCCCCTAATCTTGTATTGATGACCCTAGAAGGTAGGCATCCTTCCCATTCTGCTGATGAGCAGTGGCTCTCATAGGACCGACTTTCCTGGGCCACACCACCAGTGATGGAAGGTAGCCAGAACCTGAGTTTCGGCCTCTAGGCCTGTGTCTCTCCCGCTGGGTCCTTGCCCACTGGCAAGGACTGCTGGAACAGGGAGCAGACCCATTTCGGTGGGTCTGGTGTTGGGAGGGGTTATCAGGGATAGAAACACAGTGGCCAGGTCCCTGCTTCTCCCTGTCCAGGGACAACTTGTGGGAGTTCACGTGGCTGACCTGGTACACCACATCTGTCATTTTAGATGCCTTTGGGCTTTGGGTTTTGTCCCTTTTAATTAGAGACAAACCACTTTATTGCTCTATTTCTTAGTGGCCATTAAATAAATCATCAGATGTACTGGGCTGCAGTGGAAGGCATTAATAATGCAACACCCTGAAATAGACTTTCGTTTTTTCAGCTTGCCAAGAATATTGGGAATGCAGGCTTCAATGAGATCATGGAGTGTTGCCTACCAGCCGAGGACTCGGTAAAACCCAACCCTGGCAGCGACATGTGAGTATTGCGCTTGGCCATTCTCGTTTTCTGAAAGATTGGCCCGTTCCTTGAGCTGAGGTGGGGTAGCAGGTTTGGGGTATTTCTGTTGTCATTTGTTGCCAGTTTAAGTGTTGGTTTGTGTGCGTGCGTGCGTGCGTGTGTGCGTGTGTGTGCGTGTGTGTGTGTGTGTGTGTGTGTGTGTGTGTGTGTGTGTGTGTGTGTATTTACTGGTTGAGCTCAGGGCCTGCACTCTGTTCCTTAGCTTTTTTGCTCAATGCTGGGAGCCACAATTCCACTTGCAGCATTTGCTGGCTAACTGAAGTAAGAGTTTCACGGACTTGCCTGCCCAGGCTGACTTTGAAACGTGATCCTCAGATCTCAGCCTCCTGAATAGCTAGGATTACAGCTGAGAGCCACCAGTACCCCACTGTTTCTTTTTTTTTTGTTTCTCAATGTTTTTTCTCTTTCATGTTTTTAACCTTTTTGTGTGTCCAAATGCAAACTCAGTGTGGCTGGATTTTGGGGGTGGGGCACTCAGCAGCCGCTGTGTGTGACATCGGCGTGCAATAGTCTGCTCACCACAGTGCATGCCCTTGGGCAGCTCCACGGCTGTTCGTGCTCTCTGGCCGTTTTCCCGCCTTTGCTTCCTGCATGAACTCTAAAGCACAGAGCGGCTGATGAGATGTGTGCTCTCACACTGCTTTCCTTGCTCGTGTCTTTGAGGTACAGTGTTGTTTCCTTCAAAAACAATGTTTGAGTGTGCTCTTAGGTTGATATAAAGCTTTCATGTCTCTCCATGCATGCAGTGGCCCATTGAGGCAGTGCATACAACAGGGATTTTTCTTACCAGTTTTATCAAATGTGAGTCACCTAGTCTTCACTGGGGCGGGCTGGGAAGCCAGGGGCTCATGCTGCGTCTGTCCTGCGCTGTAGACTCCAGTGCTTTCTCGCAGTGGCCTGCGCTTCTTGCAGTAGGGCTCAGGGATGTTTGCCTGGTAGGTGTGAGCGAGGCAGAAGGAAGAAAGAGCTTGGGGTCCAGGCTGGCAAGAGACAACACCTGCATTTGAGTGGTGTGGCTGGGTCAAAGTGCACTCTCTGGCAGAAGAAAGGAAAGGTTTAACAATCCATTTATTGAGACAAGTAATGCTTTCTTTGGATGAAGCCTGAAATTGAATTAGGACATGAGACATGGTAAAGCTTTTGAGTGGTTTGAGAAGTAAATAGTATTGTATGAGCCCGTGGTGAAGCCATTTTGTTGGGGCCACAGGCTGCAGAGCTGCAGGCTTGTATGTTCGGTTGCACTGTTGATGTAGGCGAGGTGGGGAGGATGCAAGGAGGATGTTCTGCTCCCTGGGCCGGGCCTTTCAGAGGTGTTAAAGTCAGCTGTGTTTGTCAGGATCTGTCTCACAGTGTTTCCAGCTATGCTTCGAAGCTGTGAAGACAGGATGGCCATAGTCAGCTCAGGCCTTCCCTGGTCCAGACAGGGCAGATTCTTTAACTTCAGTGAGCTAAGTCCCCATTTCCTCTAGTATAAAAATGGAAAGCACAGGCTGCACACTGCCCGGAGGCGTTGGAGAAATGAGCGAGATGGTTAGCACTTAGTTGTGGTGCTCAGTGTACTAAGTTACAGGTGGAGGCTGCTCTGTTCTTCATTGTGTGGGCGACAGAGGCCATGGAAGAGCATTGCCCCACCTGCCTTGAAAAACCAGGGCCCCTCCAGTTAGGTTTTGGGACTTATCCAGATGTGATCAGACCTCCTGTGTGTGGGAGGATCTGTTCAGCCAGGGCCATGTCTGTCCACGCACTGCCCACTGTGCTAGTTAGTGAGAGCTGTTTAATTGCCACTACTCCTTCTGTTTGCAAATCTCATTGAAGGACTTGGTCTGAAATGCTGGAATCTGCATTCACTTTGAACAATGAACACAGTCATTTCTTTGCAGGCAGAGTATTTGTTCTGGGAGAAGATGATAATAAAAATTAATTCTACTTGTTTGCAATTTTCTGTATCAGTGTTTTATCTGCACCAAAGAATCCCCCCTTCCCAACCTTGACACTACTCAAATGGATGTTGACACTCCTCCTTTTTCTCAAAATAAGCATCGGTGACCAGTTTGGCGATACGAAATGCCCCCCATGCTCTTGTCTCTCCTGAAACAGCTCACCCTACTAACACCTAGGCTTCACATATATTGTTTGGAAAAATTGCATATTCCTTGTGTTTATATTTCCTACCACAATATGTTGTTTGTGGAGTTAGGTAAATATTTAATGAATCAACAAGTCAGAAAGTGCCCCAGCTCCGTGCCCACTTCAATTAGTGGATATTTTGCTTCTAGACAGAAAGGAATGTGCTGTTTCTAGCTTTATCTAAGAACACACCATCTGTGGATCAGTCTGTTGAAGGGCAAACCAGAGACACCCCGCGGTGGCCTGTGGAATCCCCAGATGGATTTGGGGGTGTTGAGCATGTTCAAGTAGACCACCAGAGGCCAGGCTTGCGTCTGCTCCCAGGTCAGCGCTGGTTCTGTGTCATGAAGAAGCACAAGGGAAGCGAAGCTCCTGTTGAACACCAGATGGGTCGTCTGTGGCGCTCACTGCCGTCCTCCACAGGCCTCAGATAAACAGGCGGGGAGAGTACACTTGGCAGCATGACGCCAGAGCGTGGTGAGGGTTACACAGACATCCTGCCATGCATGGACTGGAGCCGTCTTCAGGAGGACCGAGACCCAGAACAGATGTATAATCCACTAAAAGAGAGAGAGAGCGAACCAGGTGCTGCGGTACACGCCACCCCAGAGCTTCCTTCAGAAGGGGCAGTAGGAGGATCTCAAGTCCAAGGTCAGCCCAGACCTCATGGTGAGACCCTCTATCAAAACAACAAGCCAGGTACCGGTGGCTCACGTCTGTAATCCTAGCTACTCAGGAGGCTGAGATATGAGGATCACTGTTCAAAGCCAGCCTGGGCAGGAAGAGCTGTGAAACTCTTCAATGAATCAACAGAGAACCAGAAGTAGCACTGGCTCAAGTGGTAGAGCACTCGCCTTGAACTGAAGAGCTGAGGGACAGCGCCCAGGCCCAGAGTTCAAGCCCCACTACCAACAAACAACAACAACTACCAGGGTATGGGATGTACCTCACTAATGGAGTGTCTGCCTAGTATTTGCAAGACCCTGTCTTCTGTTTTCCAGCATGGAGATTGTGGGGGGAGGGGCGTAGAATTCATCCATCTCCACATCCAGTTTGTGGAGGTCACAATGGCTGCCCCACTGAAGATGGGTAAATCCTGACTGGTGACTTCACAAGAGCACCCTCTCTTTGTCAAATGGGCTATTCTGAAGGTGCCCCACACACATATACATACATAATACAACACAGGCCTTCATCTAGGTCCCCAGGCATCACCTGCCCGTGAATTAGGGTCCTCCCAGGTCGCCTGCCTGAGGCTCCCCCTCTGGGCTGCATTGCGCTTGGCTGTGAGGAGGGCAAGGAACCTCGTGGGAGTGCTGTGGGAGCCAGCGGACGGTGTCTGCTCGCGTCCGTGGGGAGTTCTGTGGCTAGTTAGCACCCTGCTGACAAGTACCATGCCTTAAGGTGACAGGCTGGGGCTGGAAATGAGACACACAGAATGATGTAAAGAGCCAGAGCACAGGGTCTGGATGCCCGTGGCATCTCCATACTGCGTGAAACTCACTGCTGAGGTAGAGTGACCAGATAAGATGCCTCTCTGTCCACATGACCTAGCTCAGCTGTCCAAGAGCCACTATGGGTGCTGAGAGAGCTTCACCCAGTGTCTGGTCTGGGATTCACCCACTGTGGGTGCTGAGAACTCCGCCCAGTGTCTGGTCTGGGATTCACCATGTCGTCCCATCCTGGATTGGCTTATTTCCGGGGATCCCTGGTGGACAGGCTCTGCTTGCACTGGGAGTTCTGTTCGCAGGCTTGGATACCTCACTGGGGGAGAGCAGGTTTTTCAACACAGACCTGGGGCAGGGATAGGAAAGTCCACAGCTGCACCAGCAGCCCAGGCCTGTGAGGGACGCAGCCAGCAGGAGTGGGTGTGTTTGCAGTGTGTAGGTCTCACCTCTGGAGAGGAGGGGTATTGGGGGAGTGGCTCTCAACCTTCCGTGAGCACTGAGAGTCCCAGATTGCCTGGCCCAACCCCCAGATCCTGGCTTCTGGGAACAGAATATCTACATCTTCAAATCCTGTGTGGTCTGAGGCTCAGGGTTAAAAAAGTACTACAGGGCTGGGAAGGTGGCTCAGTGGTAGAGCGCTTGCCTTGCATGCTCAAGGCCCTGGGTTCGATTCCTCAGCACCACATAAGCAAAAAGAAAAAAGCCGGAAGCGGCGCTGTGACTCAAGTGGTAGAGCGCTAGCCTTGAGCTGAAGAGCTGAAGGACAGCGCCCAGGCCCAGAGTTCAGGCCCCACGACCGGACCCCCCAAAAAAAAAAAAAAGTACTACAGCAGGGACTTGGTGAGGAGGCAGAGGAGCATTCCCACCACTTTTCCCCTGAGCCTGGAGGGCAGAAAGGAGAGGTGCAGGGCTGGCTGCCTGGTGCATCAGGTGGAGGCCAGTCCTGCTTCTCTAGAACGCAGGGCTAGAGTCCCCTCCCCTCTCCTCTCCTTGCCTGAAAACCTAGAGTTGCCCACGCTTGAATCCAGTGCACAGCCGCTGTGTCCCCGCACTACTGAGGGCTTTGTGAGTGAGCGGCGTCAAAACAGCTGAGGTGGGCTCAACCCTGGTGTCGGGGACGTGAGCGGGGCCTGAACTGAGAAGGACTGACCAGTTCCTGTGCACCTGGCCACCCGAGCGTTTCTTCATTCACAAGGACATCCATGGGAGGTGGAGCTGGTGGCCTCAGAACGCTGTGCTCACTGCCTCAGTTCTGCCACAGCCCCGATCCGGTGGCCGTACGGGTCCACGACACTCACCCACAGGTGAAGAGTCCCCCCACGTGCCACAGTAACATAGTGGGACATGGTAGAATCCTAGGGTCTACTGACTGCAATGTCAGCATGGACTGTCACCTGCGGGCAGCTCAGGCCCTTTGTCCATTCCTCAGATAGTGGCAGCTGGAGTTATTCCCTGACATTTCTGACTCGTAGGTTCTTTAGAACTTCCTGTGCCTGTTTTCCTGTCATTGGAATTGCAAAGCATCAGTCCTAGCACTTCGCAGTCTAAAGATGCTATTGAACGTTCTACCTAGGTTAACTCACCGCTTCAGTCACTGTAAGGACCCACCACACACATTTTCACAAATAAGAAGACTTAAAGCCGTAAGAGAATAAAATCTGTTTAAAGTTCAAACTATCAATACTCAGTGAGAGTGGGATTTGAATCCTGACGCCTCCATACCCCCTTCTGCCCCCCATTCAAGTTCTTTAAGTAGGGTAGAGTCTGAGTACAATGTCATAAAAAAATTATTTTATTGTAAAGATGCTGTACGGGGGGGGGTTACAGTTACATGAGTAAGGTAATGAGTACATTTCTTGTTGAGTGTTGTTACCCCTCCTTTGTTCTCCTAATATCCTTTCCTCCCCCCCCTTCTCCCCCCCCCCCCCCCCAGTTGTAAAGTTCATTGCCAACATAGTGTCCTGTGAGTATCATTGTTGCAATGGCTCTTCCTGTAGAAAACTAAAGTTAGGTCCTTATATATCACCCTGCACCAGAATCAACTCCAAATGGATCAAAGACCTCAAAGCAAAAGCAGACACCCTGAAAACATTACAGGAAAGAATAGGAGAAACTCTAGGGCTCCTTGGCACAGGCCGTCATTTTCTTAATAAAGACCCAGAAACACAACAAATCAAAGATTGGACAAATGGGATTGCATGAAACTGTAGAACTTCTGCATGGAAAAGGACATAGCTAGCAAAATCAATAGAAAGCCCACGGATTGGGTGATCTTCACTAGCCATACAACGGAAAGCCTACGGATTGGGAGATCTTCACTAGCTATACAAGGGCCTCGTCTAAAATATTATTAGAACTCAAAAAATTAAATTCCCCAAAAACAAATCCTCAAAGAAACAGATGCCCCATTAATAAATGGGCTAAAGACGTGAAGAATGACTTCTCTGAAGAGGAAATAAGAATGGCCAGTAGACATGATGCCATTTAAAGACCAGAAAAAGAAGACAGTAGAGTTGGCTCACGTGACAGTAAGCACCTTTCATGCCAGGCATGGTGTCCACAAGGCGCGGGCCCTGTTGGGTGGGCAGGGAGGCCAGCAGGAGGAGGCTGGAGCAGAGTGCCTGGCCAGCCCAGGGATGGCTGTGGGAGGGGCGTGGGCCACAACAGAGCATGCCCAGAAGAAGATGGAGGTAAGAAAGGCCTCCAAGTGCAGCGTGGTGGGGACGGAGCTCAGGACTTCAGGTGGGGCTATGGCAGGCAGGCAGAACGTGAGGAAATCGTCTCTGCTGGCTGCCTTATGACTTAACTGAGTGATGCCCAGGACCGCTGCGCAGGCTGAGAACATGGAGACCTGAGGCATCCTGGGGGCCTTGGTGTATAGATGCTGCGGCCCTGGAATGGGGCCATTCTGTGTGGCCCCCGGCGTGGCCGAGGAGCGTGGGCAGGGTTTCTGAGGTGGCTGTAGATGAGAGGAGATGCTGGGTGGATCGCGGACGGGGTCTTCATGATTTACCCGGCCATCCCTTCTGGTTTCAGGAACACCAGGAAGGGCTACATTGTGGCCAAGTACATTGAGAGGAGATACTCGCGGAAGAAGCACGCGGATAACGCGGCGAAGCTCCACAGCCTTTGTGAGGCTGTGAAAACCAGAGACATTTTTGGATTACTCCAGGCTTATGCTGATGGCGTGGACCTTACGGAAAAAATCCCTCTGGCTAATGGACATGTAAGCATGGCTGCTGCGTGTGTACGTGAAGGATGGGGGCGGGGCCGCGGCAGTGCAGTCCGTCATCTGATTCCCCCAGAGACGCCACTGGTGGCTTCTTTTTCGTTTGGTTATTCATTCCCAAATAATCCCACAGGTTGAGCATACTTAGCCTAAAAGCTTGCGACCACCAATGTTTTAGATCTTTTTCCTCCTCTGAACTCCTGTGTTCCATGTGCGCTTTGCTCGCATGGCACGAAGGTCATCTTTGTACAATGACTGTAGGTTCCTGTACTGTCATTGCCACGCTTCTTAGTTCAGGCGTGGAGTTTGCCACGTGTGTCCTCAGCGCTCAAGTTTTGGATTTTGGAACATTTTTGGGAGGGCCTAGAGCTTTTGGGATTAGAGATGCTCAACCTGTACACTTATTTATGGGATACAGTGTGGTGGGGTGATAGGTCCCAAGTCGGGCAACCAGTCTATCAAGTAATATACCTCAAGTACTTGACTTTTTTATGGTGAGCACACTTTAAATCCATTCTTAAGTGCGGTGTATTTTGGAATCGTCCGTTAGTATTAACTGCAGTCACTGTGGGGTGGCCAGACCCCCAGGAAGAGCAGAACTTTCATGTGTGCGTTTATTCTTAAGCCACAAGTGTGATGCCAGGCTGGAAAGGCAGCTCGTCCTGAGGCTGAGGGGAAGCTGCTTTCTCAGAGGCTGTGGGCCCGAGAGGGAGCACTCTTCCATGAGCAGGTTTAGGGGGGCCTCACGCTTGTACGGGGAGCCTGATCACAGTGAGCCTTGGAGCAAGGGGCCCTGCGGTGAGGGAGGACCCTGACGGGCTCTCCTTCCACCTGTCCCTGGGCTGTCTCCAGAGGGGCTTGGGGAACCGCCCCAGCATCCTGCGGGGACTCGGGAATAGGTCTGCAGTAAAGCAGCAGTCCCAAGGAGCTGCTCCTCCACATTCCCCACAGGCATGCACTCAGTGCCCAGCATCTCCCAGGGCTAAGTTCCTAGGACTAGTTTTATCCCTCATTTGTGCTCAGCTGAGTCCTCTCAGCCCTGTGCCAAACTCTGCGGAGAGGACAGCATGGAGCAGCAGCATCTTTCTCCCGCTGGCTGGCACACCCCTCCCAGCTGTGGGCCAGTGCCTCGCAGGTTCCAGGGTTCTGTTCCTCCCCCTCTCTGGGGAGAATGCAAGCCCACCGTCCAGGTGGAGCGTGCCCAGCATTGTGCCAGAGGACAGAGCGGCTGGGTTGATGGAGAGGCGTCAGCTCACCCTGCCCATGCTTCCTGTGCCTTTCCTTTCTCAACCTACTTGCCTGCCTGCAGCAACCTCCGTTTGTCATTTACCAAGCGTGCCTTCAGAGCTGCGTGGCGTTCACATCCACATCCTGCTCTGTTAATTCAGAATAAAAAGCCTGAACCTGTTTTAAAAACACATTTCTTTTACTCCAGCAGCAGGTAGAGGAATTGGAGTGTAGGAGGCCTGGGGAAACCTTCTGGATGCTTTGAATAGGACATTTACTTGTAAGCAACACCTCATACCATTGATGCAGGGACGGGGGCGTAGTGACCGAAAGGGCTGGGCTGCGAAGCCCCTGGATTTCTCTCTTATTTTCCTTGGAATAAGGAGTCAGGTCAGACTAATTTTCCCCTTTTGGGTGGTCTGTGGAGGCTAAGGGGTACTCCGTAGGGATGAGGCTTTGGGAGAGGAGATCAGGCGTACGGTTTCACTTTGTGGTCCTGCTGGAGAGCCCCGCTGAACTCTTCAGTGTCTTGGCTTGTTTTCCAGGAGCCGGACGAGACGGCTCTCCACCTTGCTGTCAGGTCCGTGGACCGCACTTCGCTTCACATCGTGGACTTCCTGGTTCAGAACAGGTGGGTGTAAACGAAGGGGGCACGTATTCTAGCTCCCTGAGACTTCCGAGGAAGGGGGTAGGCACTCTCTGCTACGTGAACAGGATTGCCAAGATGCTCACATATTTGGGGGATACATGGATCACAGGACAAAAACCGTGCCGCCAGGTGGGAGGCGTTCCATCACCGCCCTCCCAAAGCCCAGCAGTGGGAGGGCAGGACTCTGTGTGGTTGGTATCTTGCAAGGATGTGGGACTCTGGAATGACAGAGCCACTGCTGGGGAATGCTGAGCCGGGAAAGCAGGCCCTGTTTGGCACCACCTGGGCCAGGGCCCTTATTCCCAGCAGGATGTCTCAGGCTGTGGGTGGCAGTACTAAAGATCCATGCATTAGCCACTGGTCCAGGGCAGAGAACTAACCCAGACCACCGGCTTATGGGCCCTTTGGGCTAGGAAGCTTGCGCTGTGCTTTGACCAGAAGAGGCCTTCTGAGGTGTGCTCAGCCTGTCACAGGCCAGGACGCCCTGTTGTTGGAGATGGGCTGCTTCGTGCATGCTCCCTGCCTGGGCGAGCTGAGGCCAGACTTCAGGACCCTCCATGCTCATTGTGACTCCCTGATCATGGTTTGGAGAGGGGCTGGCTAACATCTACCAGTGCTAAAAGTCCTGGGTTCCCTCCTCGGCACCGCAGAAAAGATGACAAGGGCTGTGTGGACATTTGGTAAATATTCCTGCCTCCCCTTCATATACATTCTTCAGAGTGGGAGACAGTAAAGGACAATTCTGGATAGAAGGGATAGCAGTAGAGAATGGACTAGAAAAGTTGACTTGGGCTGGGGAGAATAGCTTAGCTATAGAGGCCAAAATATCCCCCCCAATTAGAAGCGTGGAAAGGAGTGCTTTTCCTGACACCACGCCGTGGCAGGTTCTCCTGCAGGGACATTGGTCACTTCTGCGTCCGCTTGTCTGTCTAGGGTACAAGACCTTCTGTCCCTCAGGGCCAGTGGCACTGTGCAAGGCCAGCCGATTCACAGCTGCGAGTGCATGCGGTCTGAAGGGGTAATCTAGCTTATTCTTTATTAGGTATGAGAATCTTTTGAAGTCTCCTTCCCACTCGGACCATTCCATGCCGTAGGTTTGAAGCAGCCACCGGACTCTAGACTGGAAAAGTGGCTTATCCCTCCCTGGTGGGAACATTAATTAATAAACTGAAAAAAAAAAGTGCCTGTAATCCTAGCTACTCAGGAGGCTGAGATCTGAGGATCCCAGTTCAAAGCCAGCCTGGGCACGAAAGTCCATGAGACTCATTTCCAGTTAACCACCAGAAAACTGGAAGTGGTGCTGTGGCTCAAGTGGTAGAGCATTAGCCTCGAGCTGAAGAGCTCAAGGACAGTGCCCAGGCCCAGAGTTCAAGCCCCATGACTGACAACAAAACAACAACAACAAAAAAAAAAAACTGAAAAAAGGTGTGGCCTGTCCTCTGGTGGAGCAGGCTGGGCGGTGAGCACAGCGTCCCACACTGCGGGTGAAGGGGAAGAAGCCAAGTCCCAGGCTTTCCTGGGCAGCTGCCTCCCAGCCTCTGCTCAGCAGCAGCTCAGCCACACAGGCAGGCCGGGGCCCCACATGGGGGATGGACGGTGGCTTGCCTCACCCTGGGTGGGGACCAGTTAGAGCACTCTCCACTCAGGGGCTCTGAGTGCTGGCGGCCTGTCTCATGCACAGGCCCACATTCCCTTTCCTGTTAGGACAGCACCCAGCCCTCTGATCTGTGACTGTGTCTTCTGTCTCTGTCTCTGTGCTGGCAGTGGGAATCTGGATAAGCAGACAGGCAAGGGCAGCACCGCCCTGCACTACTGCTGCCTGACCGACAATGCTGAGTGCCTGAAGCTGCTCCTACGGGGAAAGGCTTCCATCGAGATAGGTGAGTGGCCTGGCCGCACCCACAGTGTGGACGTGGGCCACCCTGGTCCACTCCTTGCCTGTCCTGTAGGACTCCTGAGCCTGTGTTTGACAAGCAGTGCCCTTTGTCTGTGGCATAGACTTTGTCTGCTCAGGAAGGCCAGGCCGGGGTGAGGAGCCGAGCTGATGGGGCAAACCTCGATGATGCTGGGAGTGGTAACCTCACCAACTCTTGAGATCCCACTGAGCCCTTCCTTAGCTTTGGGTTTTAGATGGCTTACTTGGGGGAGATAACTGTTCCTGCCCCTCCATTTATTGACACATGAGGGACCCTGATCTTGCCTGGCTTTGTCCCTTCCTAGGGCCTGTGGTGAGGCAGTGTGACCAGGCATCCAGCATCTGTTGGTTCCTGAGGAAGTATTTGGGGAGAACTGTTGTTCAAAGGGGAAAGAGTAGAAAAAGACATACGTTTTCCTGAAAGCTGTGCTTCTTTTAAAAATTAATAATCATGAGGGAGGGATGACACTGTCCAAAAAGAACTCTACTCATTACCTGATTTGTGTAACTGTAACCCCTCTGTATGTCACCCTTATAATAACCATAAATTTTTTTAAGTTAATAATCATCCCTCATCGAAGGAGACTTACGTAGAAGAAAACACAGGTTTCAAATGGATAGGCTGCATAAAGGTTCATTTCATTCAGGTGCACGGGCCAGGGTCCCTGCTCTTGGTGAGTGGCTGGGGCCAGCCTGTAGTTTAGACATTGATTTTAGTTACTGCTGCTGCAGCAGTATTATTTCCTGAACCAGCTCAAAGCCCATTTTTTAAAATCAGAGCTTCTCTACTTAGCTGTGTCCTGCGCAGTCACAAGACCCCAGCAGCCTTGCCCTGGTCACACCAAGTGGATTTCATGAATTTTGCTCAGTTTCTTGTAGCACTGCGTTACTGTATCTTAGCCAGATTGGCTGTAGAGAGCACACCCGTGCCAGGTGGGCTGGTTGGCGTTAGGTAACTGACAGAATACTTGAGAAAAGCAACTTCTTGGAAGAAAGATTTGTGTTGGCTCCGAGGTTTCTTCAAGGGCAGCTGGCTCCATTGCTCTGGGCTTGGGGTGAGGCAGGGGCAGGGTGGAGGCGCGTGAGGAGGAGGAGGCTGCGCTCATGGCAGCCAGGAAGCAGGGGGTGAGGCGGGGAGGGGAGACACACCCTTTAATAGCGCACCCGGTGACCTACTTCCTCCTCCTGTCCTGCTGGCACCTGATCAGCTGTCACTGCTCAGCACTGCCACCTGCAGGGGACCAAGTCTGCGGTACACAGGGACATTTCGTAGCCAGACCATAATACTGGGCTTTGCCTTGTCTCCTTTCCTCTCGACATCTAGCAAATGAGTCAGGAGAGACGCCCCTGGACATTGCCAAGCGCCTCAGGCACGAGCACTGCGAGGAGCTGGTGAGTCCCTGCTGTTTGCAGCGGCAGTGAAGGCCCCCCCTCCAGGGGGAGGGTTTCCTCCAGCCTTGGCTCAGGAGCAGATCTCCAGGGTGGGACAAGCTAAGTAAGCATCTGACCTGAGGAAAAGGAACAGGAAGTCTGCAGAGCAGGCGCTCCCCCTGGTGGTGAGATTTGAACTTGAGTTATATGTGTAGCAAATCGAACAGAGGCTGAGCAGCCAGCCACCTCCTGTGCTCAGGCACCCCGAGTGCGGGCTCTTTATCGCATGCCAGGCTGGCCTTCCGATTTTGTTCCTTCACCAGAAACCCTGTGGTCTCCTGGCATCCTCCTCTTCTGTTCTGTGTGAAGAGAGATGGTGTGCATGGTGCAATCAGCCTCCAGGAGCTCCTGGGTGGGCAGGGCTGGGTTCGCAGGATGCTGTGCCCACTGCACATCCATACCCCCAGCTGTTCTCGCTTGTGAATCTAGTCACTTCCATTGCTCTGCAAAGGTGGTTGCGAGAATTACTGTTGAGCTCTGTAAAGTAATTGGCCCAACATGAGTGCCCAGTCAATAGAACTATTAATAATAAATGCTGTACAAGTGTAGGATGAGTAACAGATACTATCCTAGACACTTCCCGTGAACTCATTCAGTCTTTGTGATCATGACATAGTTTCTGTGGTGTCCCCATTGTACAGATGAGTCAGCAGACACAGAAAGGGGTGACGAATGATCTTCCCCAACGTCATAGAGTTACTTTGTGGCTCTAAGGAACTTAAAACTGTATGGTGACCTTCTACACTGAATGTAATGAATTAACTTCTGCACATTCAGAATGGAAGTGGCTATTTACTTCCTTGGGTGAATAGAGGACATAGTCACTCATATCATTTTCTGTAGGGCTTAATTTTCTTATTTTCTTTGGCTAATGTCACAGAAGGCTGAGTTAACAGTGAACGTATTCCTTCCCCCAATGCTTCTGGACGGGTGGCCGCCCTCTGGGTCCCAAATCCCCCTTGCCTGTGCACAGTTCTTTACAGTTTACAAAGCACTTGCTGGCTTTATGGGTCTGAATGTCAAGGTTGTCCTGTGAGTGACTTGGCAGGAGGGCTTCCCCGAGACCCAAGGATTCAAATGAGCTTGCCTTGGACAGAATTGCCTTCTTGCCGGACCCTCCTCCCTGGCCTTAGGCCTCTGTGGGTCTGGCCTCCCTGTGGGTACCCACCCCGCCTGGATGACTAACTACATGGGTAGTAGCCGTGCCTGTTTCTCCTCCCCGCAGCTGACCCAGGCCTTGTCCGGAAGGTTTAATTCTCACGTGCATGTTGAATACGAATGGCGACTCCTTCACGAGGACCTGGACGAGAGTGATGATGATGTGGACGAGAAATTACAGGTGTGTGCAGGGGTCCCCCAGTAAGCAGTTTGCTGAGCTTTGTTTGGAGTAAGCTGGGTCCCGGCCTGCAAGGAAGGCAGAAGCTGTTTTATAGAAAAGGCAGTCAGGGCACTTTGTGTGTTCATTGACCTCAGTAGGTTTGGGGTTCATCTGTCCCCCGTGTTCCCTGCTGCCTCCAGCTCTTGTGAGGAACGGCTACTATGTAGTAGTCATAGGCACGGCCGGCCTTTGCCCTGAGTGAAAGTGAAGGCCTTTGACACCTCAGGAGAGGAGAAGCCGGGGAAGGGAAGCCCATTTAGCATAATGGAGGTGAGGTCAGCAAGGTTAAGTCAATTGGCGTCCAGCTCGTAGTTCATACTCTGAAGCGGATGTTTCAAATGGGAATGGGATCTGAGTTACTGCGTTGTGGCTCTGTGCATCACTTTCCAGTGAGGAGCACAACCTTTTGGTAGAGCTGGGGTGAGCATTCTCTTAAAGGGCCAGGTAGTAAATGTTTTAGATTCTAAGTGTAACTTTTCGGGGTATTTGTTTATTGTGGTATTGGGGATTGAACTCAGGACCTCATGCTGGCTTGAACACAGGGCCTTGGCATTGTCCCTGAGCTTTCTCACTCTTTGAGCCACAGCAGCACTTCCGTTTTCTGGTGGTTAATTGGAAATAAGAGTCTACTCAGACTGCTTCAAACCACAATCCTCAGATCTCAGCCTTCTGAATAGCTAGGATTGCAGACATGAGCCACTGTGCCTAGCAAACTTCTGTTTTTATTACAGTTACTCACCCAGAATGGCTCAAAAGCAGCCACAGACAGTATGAAATGATGGGCAGGCTGTGGCTCCTTGAAACCCTTGTTTTGGAGGCTGTGGGGGGCCCAGAGGCTAGGATTTGCTGTCTCCCGGGTTAGAGGAAGCTCCAGAGTTCATGGGAAGGCGGGAGGAAACATTGATGTGCCCTGAGTAAGTTGGAGGTTGCGTGTGGCTAGTGGGATAGAGCCGCCTGTACCTAAAACCTGAAACACAAGGCAGTGTGTTTGGAAGGAGGTCTTGGGACAGAGCACAGGTAAGTGGGGAGAGCTCTGGCTATTGAGATGGAATGGATTCTCTCTGAAATCCTGAGTGGACAGTTGTATGTCCAGGCTTTGTGTGTGTGTGTGTGTGAATTACAAGAGGCAAGAAGAGTGTGCCTTTAAAATCTGTGGCTCTCATGCAGCAGTTTAAGTCCCAATTAAGAGTTTAAACGAGCCCAGGCTGAGCAGAAGTGGCTCACATGAGGTGTGCGTGTGATAAGATGTGTGTCTGAGTGTTGTACGTGTGACTGTTTTTCACAGCCAGAAGCCATATCTCCATCTCACAACTTTGCTCCACTTTCTTGTAGCCAAGTCCCAATCGGCGGGAGGACCGGCCGGTGAGCTTCTACCAGCTGGGGTCCAGCCAGCTCCAGCCCAGTGCTGGGTCTTTGGCCAGAGATGCCGCAAACCTTGCCAAGGACAAGCCGAGGGGCTTTGTGCCCAGCATCCTGCAGAATGAGACCTACGGGGCCATCCTCAGCAGCAGCCCGCCTCCATCCCAGCCCACCGCCCCCAGCACCACCAGCGCCCCCCCACTCCCACCCAGGAACCTTGGCAAAGGTATGCAACTTAGTGGTCCCCTGTGAACAGGTGGAAGGATTGGTTGTGAGCTTTTGGGGTGGGGGGGTTATAGCGGCTTCACCCCAAACTAGGTGACATTTAGGTTATTTATCTTGTAGTTACTTTGTTTGTGTATGGGATCCATTTCTTCGTATAGGAATCCTTTATTCCTATGATGCCAACATTGTGGAGATGTTGGTGCATTCTTCTGTGGCAGAGGTTGTGGTCTAGTTCACGCAGAGCTACACCTGCAAGCCAGGGCAGCATGTGGTTTGGAGCAGCAGGGTCTCAGTCTCCCTACCTTTCCAACTTGCTATCCTCCTCATGTCTTGATGTCTCCTGTTCTCTTCTCCTGCTGCGTCTGGGGCTGCTGTGGAATCTGCAGCTACTTCTTATCTCTATTGATCCAGGTGAAATGAAGAAGAAAGAGATACTCATTCCGAGAGCAGTGCTCAGCTTCACTGTGAAAAGCAAAATTGTCCTGCAGGCCTTTCTGATGCTTTTCAATTCAGAAAGCTGGCTGTACTCGGTTGTTCTGTCCAAACGGTTCAAGTTCAGCAGGGATTTTGTTGTTGTTGTTACAGATATAGAAACGTTTTACAGACATGGACAAGTTAAGAAGTTGATCCAGTAGTGAAGCTCAGCTGGCCACGGAGCCTCGGGTTCCAAGCATTGGTCCTTGGGACTTTCTGGGGCAAGGAGGGGGTTGCTCAGAAACGTTTTACAGACATGGACAAGTTAAGAAGTTGATCCAGTAGTGAAGCTCAGCTGGCCACGGAGCCTCGGGTTCCAAGCAGTGGTCCTTGGGACTTTCTGGGGCAAGGAGGGGGTTGCTCAGGCTTTGTCGGGGACCTGGAAAGGACAAGAGCCTCTGCAGAGCTGGGCCCCAGCGCCATGGCTGTTGTGAGCTGCTGATGGTGTAGAAGTCTCAGCACGAATGGTTCTCAGGCTGCCTCTGAAATTTGGGAAGGGGAGTGAGGTCTTGGCTGGAAGAGCAGCTGGAGGGTGAGCGGCTGTGTGCTCTCACATTGCCCAAGTCCCTGCCCTGCTGCCTGGCTATTTCAAGGCTCTGCCCAAGTACTTGGGCCCAGGGGAGTCATGACCATCCTGCCCTGCGGGGCACTGCACCAGCAGCCTCAAGAGCACACACAGAGCAGGCACCAAGCCCCGTCCGTACTCTCCGCTCCATGCCTGGGCCTGCCGAGGCCATCCTGGACAAGGAAGGCAGGCTCGTCCTCGACTCCCCTTCTCCGGGCTGGCCAGGGCAGTGCAGGTCCTAGAGGGCCTCTCCCTGACTCTTCCCCCTGCTCTTGGAGATGGGGGTCAGTGGTGAAGGGCCTGAGTTAAGTAGACAGGGCATCTTGTGCTTGGCAGCGCCCTGTGTGGCCGATTGTGGAGGAGAGACTTGGTTTTGCGTTTGGATGGTTTAAGAGGGAACAGAAGCTCTTCGCCTTGACTTCCTGGAATTAGAGTCTGAAGTTTCTTATTCTTTTTGCCATTCTTCTCTTTAGCTTTCTTTCTTTTTCTTTTTCCTTTTTCTTTTTACCGGTCCTGGGGTTGGAACTCTGGGCCTAGGCTGCTTTTTACTCAAGGATGGTGCTCTACTACTTGAGCCACAGCACCACTTCTGACTTTTTCTGACTAGCTTATTGGAGATAAGAGTCTCACAGACTTTCCTGCATGGGCTGGCTTTGAACTGCAATCCTCAGATCTCAGCCTCCTGTGTAGCTAGGATTACAGGCATGTACCACCAGTGCCTGGCTTAGCATTACTTCTTCTTGAGATGAAGTAGATTGCACCCCTGCCCTCCTTCTGTGTCCCCCACACCAAGTCCAGACTTGGAGAGGGTGCACAGGTTCTCTCCTGACCAGTGCCTGGCCTGGGTGGGTGTGGCCTGTTTGCACACCGGGCTCGCCCTGTCCCCCACCTGCCCCTGTGCACAGCTGTGGAACTGGGTCACAGCTGTCATCTGCGTGGAGAGCACACTGAGTGAGAAAGCTCAGGGCTTCGTGTGGCAGAGGAAGGACTGTGACCAGGGAAGTCTCGTCTCATTTATGGGCCATGAACCTGCTGGGTCATCTGTGCCAACCTCTAGCCAGAAATGTTGGGAGGCAGTCGAGAGAGCACAAGTCTCCTCGTGCCTGGTCCCTCGCCCCCCAGGGACCTGCGCTGGAGACACCTGGGCGCCTTCCACGTGATCCCCTGGAAGTATGCTCCGGGTGGGTAGGGTGAGCGCGAGTTGCATGGGCCCCAAACATGGTGCTCAGGGGGAACACCTGTTGTGATTTATTCCTCTTTTCGAATAGTGAGTTTGAGAAACAAGATCAGGAATCGAAAATGTTTACCATTAAACTGAAAAAGCCAGCGAGAAGGTTCTCAGTGGCATCTTTGGTTTAGTGTGTTATCAGTGTCTGCCTTCCAGATAACGTGAGACAAAAGGAAGGTTCAGGGTTCTATTTGCTGTTCTAGAAGGGTCATATTGACCTTCTTGTAAGCTAGAGGATCAATAACGCAGTGTTTTGTTTCTGTTTTTGTTCTGTGTGTGTGCATGCGTGTGTGTGCATGCGTGTGTTTGCGTGTGTGCGTGCGTGTGGGTTTAGTTCAGACAGCCTCCTCCTCAGCTAACACCTTGTGGAAGACAAACTCTGTAGGTGTGGGCGCTGTAAGCAGGCAGCGATCTTCGTCAGATCCGCCAGCTGTCCACCCACCGCTGCCCCCTCTTCGTGTGACATCTACCAGTACGTTTTTTTCCTTTTCCTTTCTTGCCAGTGGGCTGTGTAGATCTGGAAGGCAGGGGGCGCTGGCGCTGTTGGCAGCCACCTGGGGAGACAGCTGCCAGGCTGCATACCTGTGCAGGTGTACAGATGCCCAACGGTACACCGGCGGCCTCCGTGGCCTCCAACCCTCCCAACTCCCCTGCAAGCTCCTGTAGAACCCTCGGTATTCCCCAGTGGCTCACTCTAATCTCTTACAAAGCGTGTAAGCAGTATTTATCCTCCATTGCCCACCTACCCATAGCTTCCATTTCCTTTAGCCAGGAGATGACTCTCCCTATTTGGGGAGTGTTATTGTCCATCACAACCTGGCGTGTTTTCCTCAGTGCCAGCATGTGGTTGAAAGTCCTTGAAAGCCTGGGAGAAGCCTTGGTCTTGCGGCAGAGCTGAGTACCTTTTACTGGGTCAGTGAGAAGCGTGCTGGCCCCCTCCCTGCCTGCGTCCTGCTATGCCCGAGCCCAGCATCCCTGGAGTCCTGCTTCCTGAGGATGACGCCCTCTCCTCGAACACGAGGCTTCCTCCAGTAGTTCAAAAACAAAAGCCTGTAGTGCTGGCGAGCCAGGCTCGCGCGTCACGAGGCTCTTGGGACCTTCCGAGGGCCGGCAGCCTGTCTCCTTCCCTGCCTCCCGCCCTGGCACTCCCCGGATGACCTCTGTGGGGTAGTCCGCCATTTGACTCTTCCTTTAAAATGGAAAAGGAAAGACTATATGCTCAGTCTCTTCATCTGTCCCACCCTGTGATCCCTTTTTGGACACTAAAGACTTCTCTCCCCCGGTGGGGCCTGGGCCTCAGCGCCCATCTTGGCAGGCCACCTTCCACCTGTAAGGAGCACCTGGCGCTCTGCTGTTGGCCACAGAGGAGGAGGGGAGCAGAGGAAGCTCACCCCGGGACTTAGCTTTTTTTTTTTTTTTTTTTTTTTTTTTTTTTTTTTTGTAAAGATACTATACAGAGGGTTACAGTTACATGAGTGAGGTAATGAGTACACTTCCTCTTGAACATTGTTAGGTCTTAGCCTGTGGTGGATAAAGTACAGATAATAGTAAAACCCTTACCTGTGCCCGCCTCAGACTGGACACCCAGTGTAAGTCATCGTCACGGTCTGGCTGTTCTCAGCCACCTGCTCAAATGGAGTACACCTCAGGCTGAAAGCTCCAGAAGGCTCAGCTCCCCAGGGCAGAGTTTAAGCCTGGCACCAGCCCCCAGACTTCTCTGCTGACTCTCAGAGCCAAGAGCTGAAGATGGTGCCAGCCTCCCACTGGGCCTGCCCATCTGGATGCCGGCTGAGCACAGACAGGGTGCAGAACTTTGTAGTTGAGGCTCGAGTTTCCTGACAGGGTGAGACAGGAGCTCCTGCCTTCCCCTTCAGTTTCCCAGGTGAGCCCAGACACGGCAGCAGGTGTTGCTCAGGAGGAGTGCTAGAAAGGAGTCCTTGTGGGCCAAGGCTCCGTGCTGCGAAGGCTGGGCGTGGGGTGCAGGAGGGAGGCTCACCCTGTGTTCCTCTCCTCTCTCCGCAGATCCCTTATCCTCTACACCACCCCCTCCTGTGGCCAAGACACCTGGGGTGCTAGAAGTCTTGAGCCAGCCAAGCAAGCCCACCCAGCCTGGGGCTGTGCAGAGCAAGCCCCCACCCCTGCCGCCCCAGCCGCCCAGCCGCCTGCCGCAGAAGAAGCCTGCACCAGGGTAAGCACGGCCCCTTCCCAGCACCGGCCACTGCCCTACGACTTGCTTTCAGGAGGCTCCAAGCAACAGTGGCCCCTTGCTTTACCACTGAGGCTCCCGCTGGGCTTCTGCTATGGTAGTGTGGGAGGCCAGTGCTGTATAACTTATCCATTCGTTCTCAGGGGTCTTAAAATGGATTTTTCAAGCAGGCACTGGTGGCTCACACCTGTAACACTATAGGTATTTAGGAGGCTGAATACTGAGGATCAAGGTTCAAAGCCAGCCCAGACAGGAAAGTCCATGACACTCTTTATCTGTAAATAACCAACAAAAAGCCAAAAGTAGAGCTGTGGCTCAAGTGGAAGAGTGCTAGCCTTGAACACAAAGCCTCAAGGACAGTGTTCATGCTCTGACTTAAGGCCCCAGCACTGGCACACTAAAAGAAAAAGATTCTTCCAGGTTTTTCTCTTACCATGTTTTGTTGTTGTTGTTGTTGTTGTGTGCATGCTGGTGTGGGGCTGGAACTCAGGGCTCAGATGCGGTCCCTCACTTAAGACTGGTGCTCTCCCACTTGAGCCACAGCTCCACTTACAGCTTTTTGGCAATTAATTAGAGATAGGAGTCATGATCTTTCCTAAGTCCTTAAGACATGAGGCCCTTTACTATGTTCTGTCTGTGTCTCAAGGGAAGGAAACCTGGAACTCGGGCCCTGCGCAGGGAGGCGTGTGTTACCTGCAGATCAGAGTGTCCTTTGCACACGCGCTGCGCCCCACAGACGCAGTGACTCTCGGGTGTATGCAATTACCACCCATTCCCAGCAGGAGGGAAATGCATGCATACCTACATTCCCATGTATATGTGTACATACACATCCGTAGTACATGTGAATATGTGTATTTATGTTTCTTTCTTATCTTTCAGTTTCTTTATTGTTGTTTTCTTTGACAGTATTGGCAGTTGAACTCAGGGCCCTCCTCATTTGCTAGGCAAAGACAAGGAATAATGCTTATTCTCATTTTCTGCTTTCCTGTATTTGTTACTTCCTTTCTAAAGGTCAGAATCCTGGAAGTCCTTTTCTAAAAAAAAAAACAAAATAATGAATGACTAGAAGGAAGTGCTAGAACCTACATTCCTGATCCTTAAGCCAGGACTTTGTTGCTGGTCACTGGCAGCTTATACCTGTAAACCTGGTCCCTCAGGAAGTTGAGATCTAGAACATCTCAGTTCAAAGCTAGCCAAGACAGTAAAGTCCACAGGACACCCTTCTCCAAAACAACCAGTAAAAGCCAGGTAAGAGGCATGGATCCAGCCAAGAAAGCCAAGCAAGACTAGCTGGGAGTCCTGAATTCAAGCCCCAGCAAAAACAAAGAAGTCCCAATTCTTCAAAGCACTTCTGTCCATGTAGGCGCTAGGGGAGAAGCTGGCATCAACCACTGGCTTCATTCCCTGTTTGGCCTTGACTTGGGTCTTAGTCCTCCTGTGGAAGGAGGGGCTGAATCTTAAACTCAGACCTGAGGCGTCTCTCAGGTGCACGAACCCCCGGTGATTCTGTCCGAACCAGTGCATGCACTCAGTTTCTCCTAGGACTGTGCATGTGTGTACCCCAGGGGTTCTTGCAGGGCCAGGGCATGTGTGGGCCTTCCCCTCCCCCTACATGCCTCAGTGCTTGGTGGTTCTGGCTGCTGGGAACTGATATGGCTGACTCAAGCTGAGCTCTGCGCTTCCCCTATCCAAAGCCAGGAACTAGAAACACAGAAATAGGAGGAATGTGCACGAGTGTCCTGTGTCCCGACAAAATTACACTGTGAACACTGAATTCTCATGTGCCATGTACTATAATTTTCATTTTTTTCCCAACTTAATTTTCAAGTACCAGAATTACGGTTAGTGCCAGCGCCAGTGGCTCGCACCTGTAATCCTAGCTACTCAGGAGGGTGAGATCACGCTTCAAAGCCAACCAGGGCAGGAAAGTCCGTGAGACTCTAATCTACAATAAACCATCAGAAAAACCAGAAGTGGTGCTGTGGCTCAAGTGATAGAGAGCTCGCCTTGAGCTGCGAAGAGCTGAGGGACAGCGCCTAGGCCCAGAGTTCAAGCCCCACAACCGACCAAAAAAGAAAAAAATTACTGTTAGCTTGGACCAAACTGGAAAGGAGAGTGGAGCTGTAGGCTATATTTTACTCTCTTTTAAGAGAACTAATATGAAAATCCAGATTTATACCATGCTAAAATTTCCTTTACGAAGAGGACATATTGTGTCTTTCTTCCAAAATGAAACTCCAGCCCCGGACTGGTGGCAAATGATTCTTAGCTTGTCCAAAGGCTAGGATCTGAAGATCACAGTGCGAAGCCAGCCCAAGCAGGAAAGTCCTTGAGACTCTTATCTCCAATGAACCGCCAAAAAGCCAGGAGCTGTAGCTCAAGTATAGAGTGCTACCCTTGCGCAAAGTAACTCATAGACAGCACCCAGACGCTGAGTTCAAGCCCCATGACAGGCCAGAATGGGTCTAGGACATATTCTCACATTGCCTGCTGTGTCCTCACTCACCTTTCAGTAAGATTAAAACTAATGACCTTCTCTAGAGAGATGAGTTCATCCAGCCACCCTTCTGCGTCTCTTCTGGGAACAGGAGGAGGCTGAGAAGAGCGTGCCAGGTACATCGCTCTTGACAGCCGACACCCTCTGTTCCTGCAGAAGCAGCAGGCCTGAGTTCAGGTTCAACGGCTCCTTTCACAGAGGTCTAAGGCCCAAGCCAGGCTGGCTAATACCCAGCCCCGAGCCCAAGCCCATGCAGACAGGGGTGCTGTGGTGGAGGCCTGGGTTTAGGGTCAGGAACTTGGTGGTGATACTTCCCTCTGGCCTTTATTTGAAAAAACAAAACAAAAAAACCAAAACTCTCACACAGTGGGGAAATGAGTATGAAAATGGTTGAAGTAGTTTATTTGCGTGTATAAAGATAGAACAGTGCTGGTGGCTCACACCTGTAATCCTAGCTACTCAGGAGGCTGAGATCTGAGGATCTCTGTTTGAAACCAGCCTGAGTGGGAAAGTTATGAGACTTATCTCCAATTAAGCACTCAAAAAAAGCCAGAAGTGGACCTGTGGCTCAAGTGGTAGAGCTTTAGCCTTTAAGCAACAAAGCTTAGGGACTAAGTGCCTGAGTTCAAGCCCCAGGACCGGCAGACACAGCCTCAGGTATCAGTAAGTCTGTTTTTCCTTCCTATAGGGCTGAGAAGCCAACCCCATTGCTCAACAAAGGCCAGCCAAGAGGACCTGGTAATGATGCCATTTGGGACTGGGCTTGATTCTGCTGGGTCCCAGGGGAACATTTCTTGGCAGGTGGTCAGCTCTACATAGGGCCTGTCCGCCCTCCAACTCCCTCACCTCCCCCCGCCAACTCCAGCTCCCCCTCCCAACTACCCTCCAGCTCTCCACCCTGCATCTCCAGCTCCCCCTCCCATCCAGCCTCCAACTCCAGCCTCCAACTCCAGCTCCCCGTCCCCACCCACCCTCCATGTTCAGTTCTCCCTCCCCCTCAGGCCTGATACTCTGCTCCCCACAGTTCAAGGCTGCGGTTCCCCTTTCCTGTGCTCCGACTTTCATCCTGCCTTGCAGAAAGTTCTCTGACTTACAGGGACTTTTCCCTTATCACATCAGAACTTCTGGAGAAATCTGCTTTCAGACATGACCCTCGGGCCCTGGTAGTCAGTTTACCTCTTGTGGTTACGACTGATGGGGTGTCTTGTAAGGCTTCGTTTTGGCCCTAACACGGTGGATCTCTCTGGAACAGAAGCTCCGGGCCCTCTGTGCAATGCCATGGCTCTGCAGCCCCCCGCACCCATGCCCAGGAAGTCCCAGGCGGTAAGTGGATAAGGCTTTCCTGCCCCTTGCTCTGTCTACCCGGAATGCTCGAAGGCAGCCGATCTGCCTTCTTTCCCTGGAGAGGGTGGGCTGGGCGTCAGGTGCTGGCGCTGCTGTTACTTGGGCCCCCACAAGTGCCAGGCTCCAGCTGCTCCACTTCCAGCTGGTCCACTTCCAGCTGCTCCTCGGCCCTCCCTCAGCCGGGATCTCCCTGTAATTTCCTTGGCACCAGAGCTGCACCAACCCCTGTGGGCTCCCCTCCCCTCCCCGGGGTCCTGGGCTCAAGCGGAAGCAGGAGGCCATTGTCTGTCCTGGTTCCGGCCTCCGGCCACACTAGCCTTTACTCTCCCTGACGCAGACCAAGTCAAAGCCCAAGCGGGTGAAAGCACTCTACAACTGTGTGGCTGACAACCCGGACGAGCTGACCTTCTCTGAGGGAGACGTGATCGTGGTGGACGGGGAGGAGGACCAGGAGTGGTGGGTGAGTCAGACTGGGGTCTGGAAGGGGCTCAGGGCTGAGCTGCACCTGCCCACCTGGAACTCCCAGGCACCGATGAGGCTCAGCATGAGCAGTCCAGTTTTGGGGTGGCTGCTCTGTCCTCAGCAGGACCCACACCTCTCCACCCCTGGGCGGCCCCTCCCTATTTTGTTGGGCAAGTCTCCCAGGCCGCTGTTTCCAGAGTACACTGGAGGGTCTCAAGTGAGACCCTGGCATTCTGAGGCCTTGAGTTTCTAGGTAAAGACCTCACTGCCGCATGAGCATGGCAAGGAATCTAAAGAGATCTGGCCTCCAGGGGTAGGCAAAACCCACCCAGTTTGGTCCTGAATGAGCTAGGGCCTGCTCTGTCCACCGGAGCAGCACAGGCACCTGCTTCCTCCCCCCCTCCCTCTGGGGGTTCTGGCTGTTGAGCCTCAGCACTCACGGGCCGGGAACCTGTGCAGAGGTCTGTGGGACTTGGTTGCTCACAGTGCAGTGGTGAGATGACATGGGAAGCGCAGAGGAGTCAGCGCAGGACTGAGCACTGCCGAGTCTGCCACCTACTGGACAGTTAGCCTTGCTCCACAGACGGAGCTTAGGTGCCTCTCAAGGAACTGGGGGATGGGGGAGAGAAGTTACGGAGACTCCCAGCTAACTAGGCTTTGATAGGCACAAGTAGTTTGGGCCCTGTCTAACCTCTGTTCCCAGCAAAACTCCCACTGTGTTTCATTCTTGGGATGTGGCTGCAGAGCTGTTGACACAGCTGGTTCATCGTCCTTCCTGCCGGTGCAAGCGTCCGAGGGCCAGCTTTCCCTTCTCCAGCAGTCTTACCTAGCACTGACTTGTAGGAGTCATAGCTCCTGGGGCTTTTGCTACTGCGACCTCCCCTCTCCCCAACTCCAACCCCCGCCACCAGGCAGCAGAGGAGCAGGTGTGCTGGGCTCTCCTCACCTCCTCGTGTACTCGTGTAGTTTAGCCAACACCAGAGAGCAAGAAGGAAGGAATGGCGTGGTTGTTTTACCCAGCTGTTGTTTGGCAAAAGAACTCCTGGTGCAAGTCTCCTTTAATTCAGAAATGGCCTTCATTTCAAATGTGTAATTTTTCTAACCACCAGCACTTGTTCCTTTCAGATCGGCCACATCGACGGGGACCCGGGTCGCAGAGGAGCGTTTCCGGTATCGTTTGTGCACTTTATTGCTGACTGAATCGCTACTGAACAAAGAGCCTTTCTTTAGCCATTATGTCCCTGTTCCGTTATTGGTACCAAAACTCTCCCAGATAACCAGTTCCACGGATTGGACTGTACGCAAGCCCCGTTCTTTTCATACCACACCACTGTTCTGTTTTAAACACTCAAAGGTAGTTTTTATATATAAGTGAATTGTTTCTATAATTTGTAGTTTTCATGAAACATTGCTACACTTTTATTAGAAAAAGCTGAATTTCTTTAAAGGTGAACTGAAGTTTTTTCTTTTTTGAACTACACAACCAAGATCTTGCTAGAACTAAAACTAAATGAAGAAAAATGGAATCACTTCCTGCTTTCCTTAGCCTGATTCTGGAGGTAGTGGTCTTTAGGGCAGCTCTTTGACAGCGAGTAAACCGCGGCTTCACGGCGCCCTGCCTCCTCCTGCCCCGCTGCCTTCCTCAGATGCCATCAGTTCACCTTTAAAGACCCGTATTCCCGCGAAACCCACTCAGTGTCTGTTTAAAGCAACTTGCAAACTTACACATTCGCCTTGTACTTTCTAGCCCTACCCTGCGAGGTGCAGCTTCATGGCCTCCTGCATGTGTGTAACCTGTTGTGAAGAAAAATCAGCCCTAACCAAACGGTGACTTACTGCAGCATATGGCAATCATTCATTCCTCCCGAGACATTGTAGCAAACTGCATTTCCTGAATTTGGTTAAAAAAAAACTAAGGATGATGGATTGCAAAACAGTTCTAGGGTTCATATGCTTCAGGTGTTTCAGAGTTTGCCTTCCCCAACTCCCTGTCATCTAGAGCGGTGAGCAGCAGTAGAGGACTGTGGCCAGGCCAGGATGCGGTGGCACATTTCCTGCTGCTCCCGGTGCGTGCACCGCCGCCTTCCCTTGCTAGCTCCCGCAGACATTCGCTCAGCTTAGTGTCTAGTACTTATATCACATGCCCACAGGAATGGTAGTCACACCGTCTTGAAACTCAGTGTCCATCTGTTTGTATTCAAGAAATCTGTATTCAGAACTCTGCAGCTCCTCAGTAATGCTATACCCCTGAACATCCCGGCCTTATCACTTAAACTTATGCTACTCGGGGAAGGGGTGGGAACTAGGCCGTCCATGATAAAATGAACTCATTAGTTTAATGAACTATTTAGTCATTGTGAGCATAAGATTCATAGTAGTTAATATTGGAAACGTTGGCACTCTTTTCAGAATAGGCATGTGATGCCCACTTGGATTTTGAGCAAAAGTAAGGAATCAGTTTTAGCACAGGCTTGGAAAGCAAGGCAACAATGCTGTCACTGCGCTCACCACGACGGTAGTGACTGAAGCAGCTCATCTTTATTGTGCAACTCCTGTTAAGTGTGGAGTTTGGGGTTTTTTCTTACAGCATTGTATTTTTGTCTGCCATGATAATGGATGACAAAACAAACTGGAATGTTTTATGATGTCTAACAATCGATTTTGCTTTCCAGCATTCCCATGTGTTACATTTATACTTAGTCTTTTTTTTAAAGCACTACATGTGTTTTCACTACTTAATTTCTTGGTTGAACCCTTCCTTTAGTCCATTTCTCATAGATTTAGGAGTGTGAAGATGTATTTTGCACAGTACTTCTCCAGTCTATCGTAACAGCCCCCTACCTGCATCCGGTTCTTATCATCTTGATCGAGTTGGTTCACAACCACATTTGAACGTCAGTCCCAACTAACCTATCAGGTTCACTGGTACATAAATACCTAGGAAATATTTTTCCAGTCTACAATTGGGTGGTGCTATTGTGCAGTCATTAATAGTACTCTTGCCAGAAGAGAAACCCTGTTAACTTCCTGCTAATATCCTTTCCTAGTTATTTGTTCTTTGCAAATTGAAAGGAAAAAAAAAGCCACTGAGAGAAAGAAAAACATTGTAGATATCTATTTATATTTAAGGTTTACATTTCCTGACCTTCAGCTGCTGGGTTCTGGAGGGATGACACCTCAGAAGAGGGTGTGCAGAGCAGTTCGGTCTGTGCCCCTGCGCGACGGGTTGAGGGTGGAGAACAGGCTGCAGCCTAGAATGCTATTTTGAGATGTACGATATTCAGTTCATTCACCTGATCACTTTGGTATATCGCAGCGCAACTGTATATATTGTATAACCTAAATTGATTCTTATTTTCATTGTCCTTAATGCAGTGATTTATAATTAGAGCATGTTTAATAAGCTTACTCTTGTTAACTAGTCATTTGACTGGAAAAAAAAATAAAGTACTTTTAAATGGGCATAGTTTTGTTTTTATTTTTTATCCTTTAAGTATAAGATATTACAGTCCCTTTTTGCCAAAAATAAAAAAGTACACTAGCATACTAGCCATTGGATCCTTCAAATACTTTTAGCATGAGCAGTGATCTTATCTCTGACATAAACACTGTGTTGTTTTGTCGTGTCAGTGGTGGGGGTTGAACTCAGGGCCTGAGCGCTATTCCTGAGCTCTTCTGATCAAGGCTAGCGCTCTACCACTTTGAGCCACAGCACCACTTCTAGTTTTCTAGTGGTTAATTGGAGATAAGAATCTCATAGACTTTCCCAGTGTGCTGGCTTTGAACAGTGATCCTCAGATCTCAGCTTCCTGAGTAGCTAGGATTATAGACATGAGCCACCAGCGCCCAGCGACACTGGCATGTTACACTGACAACACAATTCTGAAAAGGTATTTTGTAGTATCTTAAGGGCACAGTTCCAAGTGGCAGAAACTGGGGACTCCAGTCCAAACCTGCCTGCCCTCAGTTCAAAGCCAATGACATTGTCAGTAGAAGTCACATGGGAGGCTTCTGTCCTCGATGTTCTATTCAGTGAATGCCTATGGCACTTGCTTCCATAGTAAGTGTGTTTGTAGTTTCCTCTCATCCTGTAAAGTGCGTGGTTTATTGAAAGTTTGCTGTCTAATCTGACACATTTTAATGTAAAACACAATGAAGATTTCAGAACATGGAATTAGAATATCACTTCCTACTCCCATAGCAGTTCAGCAGCCAGACAGAGAGCAGGTGACATTGAAACTAGCTGGCCTCCGATGTAGTTGTCTTCCCCTGGACGCAGAGTTCAGGACTTCTCAGAGGTTAGCACAGAGTCGAAAGCCGTGGAGAGCATCCTGCAGATGGCCTGAGCTTGTTCCTGCATGATGTAAAAAGACCCAGCGAGAGCAGAGTTTCGTCTGTCTCCAGCCCTCGTGACAGCTCCCTCACCAGCCTAGATTCTAACAGCTGCCCTGCCTGGGAGCTCCCCGGAAGGTGTACTGAGGCCTGCGGCAGAGGACAAGCCAAGGATGAAGCGAGTCCCTGGCCACGGCGGACACTGCCTTATCTGCTTTGTGTTTACCTCAGCCCAACCCCAGGGCAACCCCAGGGCTTCATAGCTCGCTGTGAGCCTGTGGGCTCCACCCCTGTGCCCATCCATTTTGAGGCCAAGTGTTAGGTACCTAAGGAGCATTTGTTTAGCCCTTGAAAAGGGGACAAATTGCCACTTCCATTGGTGAGCAAGGAACCAAGTAAATAAGGTAAAACCTCACCAGGCTGCTGCACTGATAAACCCACAGGCTGTACTCTTGGTTGCTTGCATCGGTGGTCTTCAGAGCAAGCAGGCATTTGCCGGCGCCCAGGCCATCATCGTAGCACACCATCCGGATGATTAGGTACAGGGCATGCCTGTGCAGGACGTCCTGCAGAAGGGAGAAGGCCCCACTCAGGCTGCATCTCAGTTTCTACAACACACATTTCCCCATGCAGTTTGTATCGTGTGACTTCAAACAGCCTGTGCGGGAATCTGGCAGAAACGTACATGTACACAAGACACTTCAGTAAGTTGAGTGGGAGCCAATTTTGTTTGGGGGTCATGCCATCCTTTAAATGCCAGAAAGACGACAGAAACAGGATCTAAACTATCTCCATCTCTGCCTGGCGTCCAGGAAAATGGCTACTTTTGCTTGATGTGAAGATGCACTGAGAGCTGGGATGGGGGCCGTGTGCACACAGGATACACTAGAGCGCACAGGATGCACTGGGAACTGGAGACAGGCTGGGTGTACTCAGACACAAAAGGAAGCCCCGCTATGTCCTAAGAAATTGGAGCAGCTGCCAGACAACCACTTTGAAAACAGACCTAGCTATCAGGGAGCCTGAATTCCCCATTTCCTAAAACATTTTCCTTAATGCATGTTACTACTTACATATTGGTCTGATGTTGACACTTTTATACCATACTTGGAAACTCCCATGATGAATTCTTCTTCCAGAGGAACGAAAGGCAACTTTCCATCTTGCTTTAAAAATAAATCACACGACATACATTAGAATGAGGGGTCAGTCTTAAGTTTGATGGGTCACCTTTCGTATCTCAATCCCACACGCACTAGAGCTTGTGGGCTATACCTTAGCCCAGCAAGAATTCTCTCCAGAGAAGCAGAAGGAATATTTTCTATTTTTTAAATTTCCTATTTAAAATTTTTTACAATTAACAAATGAAGGGAAAAATACAGATCAGTCTTCCTGTATTGTTCTATCCCTATGTGCTGGTGTGTGGGAAACCCTAATTCTAAACTGAAATACTTCTTACAGATCCTGAAGAGGTCCAGATATTTATGTTAGACAAATATTATTAGACAAAAAGTCTTTTTTTTGTTTAATTTTTAATTACTCAAAATCTACCCACGCCAGGGTATGGAATAACCAGGAAGCTGGGTTGCAGGAGCCATTTTTCTGTCACTTCCTGTCCAAACCAGGTGGACATGCCCTGGGCTGTGGGGACGGCGGCAGGTGGCTACTCAGCTCACAGGCACCGTCACAGCAGCTGCAGAGGGTGATGCCAACGCCTTCCCTCGCTGTGGATCTGGTCTCAGCTCTTGGCTTGGAATGCTACCTAATTTGTCTTCTGTAAAATAGATGAGAGGCTGCTGGCAGTCTGCAGGTGTTCCATGCTGTAATGTTTTCATGGGGTATTAAGTGACAATAAATAGATGGTGTCCAAGGAGCTTTGGGAGCCTCACAGGGTTACAGTAACCTCTTGCCAAATCATTTCTCTCCATAGGTTTACAGCAATTCCGAAACATGGGATAAAGGTGGTACTGTTGTCAACAAAATGACTCTTTAACTGAAAGCAAAACTCACACAGTGATCTGCCTCTCACATGGTGATCTGCCCGCAGCCACAGAGGAACAAGGCTGCCAGGATAGCCAGCCACCTTGGCAGTGCTTAGGGCTGAGGGGGTGAAGGGGGGAGGAGGGGAGGGCGGCTCATGCTCATGGGGATGACTTTCTGTTGCTTGAACTGTGAGGATGATTGGATCATTCCATACTAATTTGCTAAACGGTAAACTAGATTCACTGATTTCCTTCACACAGACGAAATAACTTCCTTTCCTTCCATGAAGATGTGAGCCATAACATTCTCATCTCTACAATGTAAGATAAACCATGTCTTCTGTCCCACTATAATATTTTATGTACCACACGACTTTGATTTATTCATTTGCCTGCATACTGCCTTTATTTAGAAAAAAATTTGTCCTGGTCCTAGGGCTTGAAGTCACCCTAGGTGCTGTCACTGAGCCATTTTGCTCATGCGGTGCTATTTGGGCCACACCTCCACTTCCAATTTTCTGGTGGTTAATTGGGGATAAGCATTTCAGACTTTCCCGCCCACGGCCAGCTTCTAACTGATCCTCAGATCTCAGCCTCCTGAGTAGCTAGTATTACAGATGTGAGCCATCAGCACCAGTCTTTGAATTAGTAAAACTAGTTCAGTGGAGCATTAGTAAAGTTTGCCAGGATGATGTAAGGAAAAACCTAAAGAATAAGAAGTCACCAACAGTGAGTACGTCAGTCCATAGAAGGTCTGAGTGAATGAAGAAGCCATTCCTATGCAGCTCAATCTCCAGGGCACCTGGCACAGACTGAGCCTTCAGCACAACAGTAGTCCCACCCAGAAGACTCACAAGACCATGTTTCGAGTCTTAAGAGGCTTTGGATGGAGTCTTTTCTTACCTGAGCAACATCTATATAATTTATCAGGTCTAGTGGTCCTTCGAGACTTTTGCCCTCAGAGGGTTTCAGTTTCTCAATGGCTCCAACATACTTTATTCGAAATTCTGCACAGGTATCAGAGTTATTGTTGCTTTGACCTACAGGTAAGAGGAAAGTTGTAATAGACTTCAAAAGAAACACTTGCTTGGGGCGTAGCCCTGTGGTAGAGCACTTGCTTGGGCTAAGGATGTAGCCCTGTAGTAGAGCATTTGCCCAGCCTTCACTTCAGTCCCTGCTTTGCAAGGTAGCCTAAATTCTTTTGTGTGTTAAAAATGGACTCAGACTTTACTACAATATAACCTCTTAGTACAGAGTTTTAAGGTGCAATGTGGCCTTTTTGTTTCTTTGGGTAGCACTGGGTTTTGAATTTGTGCCCACTAGGCAGGCAGTCAATTACTTGAGCCACATCCACACCAAGATACAGAATCTTTCCATGCAATTCCATTAACCTTCTCTGACTCATAGAATATGAGGTTCATAAAGGTCTCACTAATAGGTATAAACTAATATTAACCTTTATTCAGAATAATGAACAGGGGTACGTTTATAGTGCATTATAATGACAGCTTTTGTTTTTTTCCTCTTCACCAGGTTAACTTTGATTGAGACACCTGCTTTGCCTCTACCACGGACTCAGAAAGACCTTTTTATTTTTTTTTCTTTTTCTCAGTGTAGATGGGGTAATGCCAAGCAGGGTCCTTTAATGGAACAGATGACAGAGGCTGAATGTGTGCTATAAAATCCAGCCAATACAACTAACCACGAAGGATTTTCAAGGACACCTACCATAACTAAGGTAATACTGGGCAGTCAGTTTAGGTTTAGATTGAGATTTAGGTTTGTTATGAAATAACAATGCCAATCCTTTGAATATTTCGAGAGGGCATCTGGATGTAAGCATAACGGGCTTTAAGTGACCCATTCTCTTTCACAGACTATGACCGTGGTCTATTTTAGATATGATGAGTATGGTTTATTTCCAATTAGTCTCTAGCTATTTATGGAGTTGGGTGAGGGTTTCTAAGGAGTCATTTGGGGCAGCTGCATAACCGCAAGGGTCTCACAACTGCTCTCCAACTTCCCATGCTCCCCTGGTCTTGAACTCGTGTATGTCCAGGCAGCCTGTCACCAACATGGTTCTCCTAGAAACAGCCTAAGTCCAACCTACTTGCTCTCTGCTACCTTATTTCTTAAAAAGCTAAATATTTTGAAACCTCTTATTGTCACACGATGTTTTTAACCATTTGTCTCTTAGACGCACTCAGCGCAGTTTACCCTTGTGCCCGAGGCCAGCAGCAACCACCGCAGCCCATCCCTGCAGCCCACCCCTCAGCCCACGTCCATCCAATTCCCGTTCCCTTCTAATGTCTTTCAGAAGCGGGAGAGGGAGAGGGAGAGGACGAAAACTCACCGCGCTATGCAGTTGAACTCCATGAGCATCAGCACAGGGCTTTAATCAGTAACAACCCACGCCCTTCCCCTACCTGAACTTTTGGTGGAGTCAGTGTCGAGGCTGGCGACCGTGCTGGATCGGGACAGACCGCCGAGGCTAGAATCCACAGACTGCAACAACAAACACCACACACAGTCAGAACACGGTCTTCTCTGAAGCAAAGGACCCCTGACCAGACACACACGGTCAGCTCGCCTGTTCTGGCAGACGGACTGTAACAGACTGTTCCAAAGACATTCTACAGCAAACTTCAGCCCCACAGGAACCCAGCTGCTCCTCCGCTGCACATTAGAGGACGCTGCGGCAGCGACACGTAGTCCCAGCCAGACACCCAGCATCTTGCCTCTGTCACATCCCACAGCACCCCGGCGGGGAGAACGCCCTGTGCGGCCGCTACCTCGAGATGCCTCAGCCCTCACATTCTCCTCGTTCCGAACCCAGGCTTCGGTGGTTGTCCCACTAGTGTCTGGTTCACAGCAGGAACAGAGTAACCAGAGCAGGCCAGAGGTTCGTCACCAGTGTGAACTTCCCAACAAAACTGGTAGGCCAATTTTTTAATTTAAGTAATATTACAAGGGGTTTCAATCAGTTTATAAATACAATGCATCTGTTTTTTGTTTTTTTTGTTTTTGCTTTTTTTTTTGCCAGTCATGGGGCCTGAACTCTGGGTCTGGGCGCTGTCCCTCAGCTCTTCAGCTCAAGGCTAGCACTTTACCACTTGAGCCACAGCGCTACATCTGGCCTTTTCTGCTTACGTGGTGCTGAGGAATCGAACTCAGGGCCTCATGCATGCAAGGCAAGTACTCTACCACTGAGCCACCTGACCGGCCCCAGTATAATGCATCCTGATCAGTACTACCCCTTCCATCGCCCCACCTAATCTTTCCAGTAAGCCAATCACAGATGGAAATAGTTCGTTTCATAGATAGAACTTTATTCTCAATGGTGTGTGAATGTGTTTGTTTTTATTGTTTTTTTTGTGCGGTCCTAGGGCTTGAACTCGGGGTCTGGGTACTGTCCCTGAGCTTCTGTGCTCAAGGCTAGCACTCTACCACTTGAGCCACAGCAGCACTGCAGTCTTTTGCTGGTTAACTGGAGATAAGAGTCTCATGGACTTTCCTGTCCAGGTTGACTCTGAACCTTGATCCTCGGATTTCTAAGATTATAGATGTGAGCTACCAGTGCCACAGTATCAATGTGTTTAATTTCCTTACAAATAATATTCTTTGAAAACTTGATTGAAAATGTTTCTTTTGTATGAAAATGAATGAAATCTGCCAATACACTAAATAACATTCAAAGTGTCTCACTGTGCAGTAAATAAGGTTGAACCCAGCGGGATTGAGCTCCAAATGCTTACAGTTTCCATTATTTAACTACATTTTAAGTCAGGATTCACAGGTTTGCTCCCATGTAGTTCCCCAGAAAATCTCCAAAAACTGAATAAAAATAAACCAGACACAAAGTGTATGTGAAGTACGGGAAACAGCCGTGGGGGCGCAGGGTGGAGGTGGGGTGGGTCCTGCTGCCCGGGGTCCCGGCCAGCCAGGCAGGAGAGCGCGGCATGCTGTGTGACTGTAGGCGCCAGTCCCTACCTTGCTCTTCGTACTGATTTCACTGCTCTGCGAACTGCTGCTGCTGTGCCGCTTCTTGCCTTTCCGAAACATGATTCACCATAGCGTGATCCTGGATATCCTGCAAGAACAAACATCAGCCGAGCGCTCACACTTGTGGACCTGTGAAAGGCACTTCCTCTTAAATAACAATGTCACCTCTTATCAAGAAATTCAAGGACCTCTTCAGTAAATTCAAGATTTCACCAAAATACCTAGTGTACTAAGGCTGGGCATGGTGGTACACACTTGTAATCCCAGATAGCTGGGAAGAAGACTGTGTAGGCAAGACAATATCTGAACAGCCAACTATAAGCAAAGGGTGTTGGGGGCATGGTTCAAATGGTAGAGCACCTGCCTAGCAAGTGTGAAGCCTTATACACTGAAAAAAAAGTGACACATGCATTTACTCAGGTTCACATCCATCTTCAGGAGAGCTGAGGGCAGAAGGCTCTCACAGCCCTGGGAAATGTATGTTTCCTGAAGTAACTTTTAGGGCGGACATTATTTATAGGATAATTAATGCCTCCCACACAGATTTGTCCATGCCCATCTCCTAGGAGATGGCAAGTCATCCACCTTCACGGCCTCAACGCCTCCTCCAGCAGCTGAGACACAGTCATAGCCTCAAGGTGTGTGCACGGGCTTGCTACAGAGCCGGCCGAGGGCCGCAGGCCTCAGGCCGGGAGCTCTCATGCTCTGCCATTTTATGGATGGGGCTGTGAGTTTACAGATAAGACAACCTGACATGCTTCTACCAACACTGGATCTGTCCAGCGGGAACAGGAAACGTGCGCACCGCAGACAGAACACACCGAGGCTTCACACAGACCTGGTCGGTTCTTCCCAGAGGAGCTGTGTCCCTGGTGAAGGAAAAGGACCGGGTAAATTGGGGCCCTCAAACCACCTCCAAACTTTTTTTGCATCTACAAACCCCATCATGTCTGATCCAGAACCCAAGCTGCTTGCTTGCTCATCTTCTTTCTTTCCTTTCTTCTTCCTCTCCATCCCCCCCTTTTTTTTCCATACTTGCTAGCCACTTGACCCATACTTTTTTGCTTTCATGGTTTTTCAAATAGCGTCTCCTTTGTATACTTCAGTGGCCCAGGACCACAATCCTCCTATTCATTACTGTGTAGCTGAGGTGACAGGTATGGGCCATTATGCTTTTGTTAAGATGGGGGTTTCATGAGCTTTTTGCCTGGGTGGGCCTTGAGCTTCAATCCTCCCAGTCTCTGCCTCCCAAGGAGCTGTGTGAGCCACCACAAGGGCCACTAACCCACAACTTTCTAAACTGCCTCAACCATCTCTTTCTAAGCTTTTGCCTCCTTTGTAGGGTAACAGAAAATGTGACTCATTCCCTAACTGCTTAGTCGCCAGTGAGCTTGCATCTACAAAGCAAAATCCCTGGGTGGAGAACCCAGCAGGAAACCACCACTCCTACAGGGGAAGCTAACGCAAGCTATGGGAGAGATGGAAAAGTGATGGGTGAAAGGGGAGTATTTTACAATAAAAACAACATCTAAGGAGGGAGAGTTGGGCCTGGATAAAAGGGGGTGACTGGCTGGGCACGGTGTCTCATGCCTGTAATGCTACTCAGAAGGCTAAGATGAGGATTGGGGTTCAAAGCCAGCCTGGTCAGGAAACCCCATGAAACACTGCAGGGAGAGAGGAGACAGCATCAGGCTCTCCAGGAGCCCTTTCTGAGGACTGTGTAAGGTAGATCATGGGGACCTTTGGCTGATTAGAGTTTAACAGGAACAATCTAGAGGTTTTTGAAAAGCAGTCAGTTATAATCGGATTTCTGTTTCTAGAAAACATTACTGTGGCCCACAAGGTAGAGAACTAACTCCTTAAGACGATTTTCATGTCAATCTGGGGGCTTAGAGGAAAAGGCGTTTAGTAAGTTTTTGCTATCTAGTGCTATGTTGGTGCATGTTTTCAAGCAAATCATTCTTATTTCTAAATTACACATGCATAAAAATGAGGCCCAGGCTGGAGAAAGTCACTTAGATGTCCCACCGCCGGCAGGCTTCAAGTGGGGCCACCTCTTCCTCCGCTTCGCCTCCTCTTCCACTCAGGAAGTAACGTGATTGGCAGAAACCAGACATGGTCAACAGGCACATCCATCAAACCCGGGATTCCCGGTCTGCAGGGACAAACCCGCTCTGGGCTTGCAGCTGGGTCACTAGACTGAAGTCAGGAGACCACACACAACTGTTGTTTTTAGCGTCTAATGAAAGCAAGGGATCCTCAACGTCGAAAAACTGCCCGCGTGCCCAGCTGTTTGGTACAAGTGTCTTTAAAACCCACGCCGGACGCGGGTGGCTTATGACGGTCATCCTAGTTACTGCGGGAGGCTGAGTGAGCATCGCGGCGGTTCGAATCCAGCCAGGGCAGGAAAGCCGGTGAGACACTTATCTCCAGCAAAGGACTCAGAAAAGCTGGCAGTGGCTCGGGCGGGAGAGCGCGGGCCTTGTGCAAAGGCAGCTCAGTGGCCGGGTCCAGGCGCGGATTTCAGGCCCAAAAGATCCGTAAACCCGCTGCAGGTGTTCTGTGGAGAAGGCCTCCCTCCCCGCCCGCCGCCACACGTCACCCTAGACGACGCACGTGGCTTCCTCCGAGCACCAATCGGAGACCACTCCCCGCACCCCTCCAGCGCTCCCCTCGGGTGGAGGCTGAGGCCAAGTTCTCCCCCTGGGCCGGCTCGGTCCTCCGTGGCCCGCGCCGATCGCGGGTTCACCCCGCCCCACGCGTCCCCGGCTCCGGGCTCACGCTCGCAATCCCACGGCACCCGCGGCTCATCCCCGGCTTCTCAGCTGCAAAGCCACCTTCGCCTCCGCGGTGCGCAGGGGACCCCGGCGCGGGCGTCCAACCCGCTATTGTCTGCTTACCACCACCGCCCTCCGGCGGGGCCGGGCGACTCTCGGGGCGCTGACACCCCACTTGGCAACTCCGGCCGTGCTACGCGGGGCGTCGCGCCCAGCCCCAGGCGCTCGGGGCCGCTAGTTCTCACCCCCGGGCGCAAGGCCGTCGTAGGACGGCGGCGTCCCCAGGTGGGGAGAGACTCGGGCCCAAGGTCGCCAGGCTGGGGTGGCGGCCCCGCGCGCGGCGTCGGCGGTGTGAGGATGCGCACCCCGACCG